AATACTATAGGTATATACCTAAAGAAATATAAGAGTTCTTAAACTAGGTTATAATATTCTCCCTCCCTTAATCTAGTTAAATAAAGTAGTATTTATATTCTAAATATTTCTATATCTTTAAGAAATTTAGTATTATATTAGGTAGCTAAGATTTCTTTTTAATAAAGAATAGCTAGTATATTCTAGTATAATTATTAATAATAATAACCTAGTACTAATCCTTCTTTTAAAAAGTAGGTAAGGTATTAATAATATTAATATAAAGGCTTTTAAGAGAATATATTCCTTTTTAAAATAAATAAATATAAAGGCTTTCTTTTTATCTTCTTATAAAATAGCTAATATAATATTTATACTAGTTAATAGGCTTTATATTTTAAAGATAAAGATAAGTTTAATAATATTCTATTTCCTTAAATATCTAAGTTAATTATATTATAGCTTATACCTTAAGTTATTTATTATATAGGCTAATATACTAATATTTAAAGTAATATAATTAACTATATAGACTTTAATAGTCTATTAAGTAGTAAGAATAACCCCTTAATTCTTTATTATAACTACTCTTTCTTTATTAAAGACTATTATAATATCCTTTACTACTAAGTAGCTAATAAAAAGTAAGCTTATTAAAGTACCTTCTTATAGAATACTATTATATAATTTTAAGATAGTCTTAAGGCTCTTTATAATAATAATAGTTATTTTATAAATAGTAGGTTTTAAAATAATACTAGTAAGACCTTAAATACTAAGGCCTAAGTAGAAGGATAAGTCTTTTATAAGTTCTTTATAGCTTAAGATATAGTTAAATATATTAAAGTTAAGTAGTATTAGTTTTTAATATAATAATATAAAAAGACTAAAATCTTATCTAGGTTTAATACCTATAAGAATACTATCTACCTTAAGTTAACTAAAGTATTATAGGCTTTAAAAGATAATAAAAGTAAGTTAAACTAGTTTAAAGTCTATAGAAAGATTTATATACTATTTAAAGCTAACCTTCTTATATTTATACTTATTATTATATTTTTTAGTTAAGTATTAATACTTTCTATTTTATTAAAATAAAGAGGGTAGGTTTATTAGATAGAGTTTAGAGTATAGTTTTTAATATTACTTATTAAAGTAACCTAGAAGCTTATAAGAAGAATAAAAGTACTTAGTAATATTAGGTTTTATTATACTATAAAAAGAATACCTTTTAATAGTTATTATAATAACTAAAATAGCTTATTACTTAGACTTTTTATTATTCTATTATTTAAGCTTAATAAGGTTAATTATAATTATAACTACTTATATAAATATAATTATAAAAGCTATAATAATATTATTAATTTACTTTAAAATAAGATAAAAAGCTATTTTAGTAGTATAAGAGTTAAACTCTTTATTAAGACTATTAATAAAAAGATATATTATTAAAGCCTTAAGGACTTTAAAGTCTTTATTAAGAGATTACTACTTAGCCTAAGTATTAATAAATACTATAGTAAGTTTCTTAATAGATTTATATTAAATAAGGGTTAATATTAAGAGATAGTTAGTTATAGTTTAGAAAATAGTAATACCTTTTAGTTTAAAGTACTTTTTAAAGGCTATAATTATATTTAATATTATAACCTTATTTTTAGTAAAACTATAGGTATATTCTTTAAGGCTTATATTAATAAAAGTAATAATATAGACTTAGTTCTATATTTATTTTTAAATAAGATTCTTTATAGTCTTATTACTATAAGCCTTAGTTAAGTTAAAGCTATTTCTTTAGCCTTTTAATAGTAATTTATTAAGATTATTAAATCTTAGTATATTAATTATCTTTAATTTCTATTTAACTTAATTACTTTTAAATTTAAGCTTTAAGATATTTAATACCTTCTTTAATATTAAAAATATAGTACTAAATAATAAAATAAGTAATAAGGCTATAAAAAGATCTTAACTTATATATAAGAGTTAAGTTACTAATAATATTACTTACTAAAGGAGTAGAACTTTAAGATAATAAGGAGGATAATAAGCTAAATATATAGTCTTTTTTTTTAAACTAAGTATTTTATATTTATTTAAAGGTAAGAAGTATTTAAATAAGTAATAAGGAATTCTTCTTACTAAGTAAGTAGTTACTATATACCTTTTATAGTAGTTAAAATTATAGATTATAGTAAGTAATCTAATAAGTATATTTAGGACTATAGATTATAATAAGTAATCTAATAAGTATATCTATTTAAAGGCTATAACTATATTAAGTAAATTTATATTATAATATATATAAAATAAGTATATAAAGTCTATATATAAATTACTAAGTAGGGTATAGTAGTAGAATTTCTTTTTCTTTATATAGAATTTTTATAGTAAATAGACTTATTAAATATACTTTAGATTAGCTAGAGTTTAAGGTCTTTCCTTTTCCTATATATAAGGAGTTATAAATTTCTTAAGTTTTATAGTAAATATTAGCTTATATAGATAGTAAGTAAATTTAGTAAGAAATTAATACTTTCCTTTATTTTATTAGTAGCTTTTATAATATAAGTATTACTAGGCTTATAATCTATTAAGACTAATAGGGTATATATAGGGTAAGAGGTAAAGTTATTATATTATATAACTTCTATCTAGTTATATAGTATAGGTAAGTACTAGATATACTAGGTAATAGGAGATTGTTCTTTTGGCTTTAGAGCTGCCTATTATTACTTATAATATATACCTTCTTATTACCTATTATAGCGAATTAAAGTATATAGTATTCCTTAGGCTTCTACTAATGCCTTTTTTTAGTATTATAAGGATATATAAAGTCCTTAGGCTTATCCTTTCTATACTTTTTATTACTATAAGGTATACTATATATAGGAGCTAATTTTAAGGGTTATAGCTTATTACTTATATAGAGAAAGGTTTTATATTTTAGTAAGGTTATTTTTAGTCCCTTACCTTAAGTAATATAAACTTTATTCTTATATAGCTATAGTAAAGCTTATTTTAGGTATAGTTTTACTTTAATAGCTTTAAAGAAATTATTAATTATAAAATAACTATTAATTAATAGTATATTAAGTATATTTATATAATTATATATTACTTCTTAATTCTTAAGCTATCTCTTAATATTAATATTTTCTTAATATATATCTTATAGTATATTCTTATAAGTATAGTCTACCTTAACCTTTATATATACTATATTTAAAATAATAATTAACTTAAGCCTTTTAACTAATTAGTAAATAGTATACCCTTTTAGGTATTCTTTCTTAAGCTTATTATATACTTTAATTATTAGATAGGAATTAATAGATAATATAATAAGTTTATAAACCTTATTTAGCTTAGTTTTACTCTCCTTATATACTTATAAAGTAATCTTATATTTTTACTACTTTTAATTAAATAAGGCTTTAAGTATATTAAGTATCTTAAAGTTTATTTTAATAGGTTTATTAAACTTTATAATTTTATAAAGTTCTACTTTATATATCTTAATCTCTATAGGTATATTAAAAGGGTTTAATATATTTTTAATATTATCCTTTTTTATAGAATTAATAATTATCTATATACTTATTATAAAGGACTAAAGAGCTTAGATTTAATTAAACTAACTCTTTAAGTTATATTATTTAAGTTTAAATAAGACTATAGTCTTAGTATAGAATAATATAATAAAATAATAAAATAATAGAATATTATATAATAATAATAATAATAATAATAATAATAATAATAATAAATAAAATAATAATAAAAGAAAGGGATTTATATAATATAAATATTATAAGAAGTTTTAGGTTATAATAAATACCTTATATAATTAGAACCTCTTAGGCTTATAACTATAAAGTATTAATATAGTTATATAAGATAATAATATAGCTAATATAGCTTATAAAAGAATAATAAAAAGTAAAGATAATAAGGAAAATTAGCCTTATATTAGATAAAGCTATAAGGGATAACTAGTTAATTTATATATCCTATTTCCTAGCCTTAGGCTATATAATTTAAGTTATAAGACGACGCTATATCTTAGGATACCTAAGGTTATCGCTTATCCACGCTTATCGTCGGTGTGGATAAGATAAGCTCTCTTATCGAGGCAGTGCTCTGTGCGATAGTTCGGGCGAAGGGGAAATTTGTGGGGGAGAGACATTCCAAGAATCTGGGGTAAAAATTAGCGTGCGTCGGAAACGGAAACAAACAACGGGAGTTGGGAGGCGAAGAGAGAGCGGGGGAGAGGCTTTCGGCAGTGCGGCTAACTATTCCAGAATTTGAAGAGATGGGAACTATCTAGATGGATTTTGGAAGATGCAAGTTTGAAAAATGGACTGTGTCTTTGTGTTTTGTGCTGTGGGAAGTCGGGTCAGCTCTGCTTTTGCCAAGCCCGGGGCAAGTCAGCTTCTCACACAGACTCATCACTGCCGCTCCAGTTATTGGCTTCGTACGGGGCCAGCACTTCTTGGCACAAGACAACGTGTATTGCCTTCATCTTGTCATGGGCCCCCCGGATCGGCGCACTATCGAAAATGCGACACCACAACCCCCCCGGCTACTTCCTCGAGAGCATCTTGGCGTGAGCGCGCCCCTCATCTCCGGCACAACAACTCGCCGCTTATTCTCCGAGCCCCCGGGTCAAGGGAATACTCAACCCCTAGTTTTTACCCCCGCCGCTCAAGCTTCTTGTAACCAACGACAGGGAAAGAAGGAACTAGAAAAATTTGGAGAAAAAAAAAAGGGGGGGGGGTTCTCATCTCAGTAGACGATCGAATGCGCCAATGCTATGCCGGGGCTCATCCCATCTGTATATATGATGTGGTGAGCTAGTTGCCCAGCCGTTCCCACAAACCTCTTCCTTCATTTCTTGTTATACAAGATTGTGTGTTCAACTTGTCCCTTGGATCTGATTTCTCCCACTTTACATCCCCAAGTATATTGACTTTCTTTGCGGCTGCGGACCTGACCAGCAACAACACGAAACAATGTCCGACCACAGCAACGGCATCAAGAAAGGCGGCGACGACTACGTCGATAGCTCCCACGAGGCCGCCCTCGGCCGCTTCCGCTCCGCCGCGAGCGTCGCCATGACGCCCGAGCTCTTTGAGAAGCTGTACCTGTCGCCGCAAAACGCCGTCAAGGGCGACTTGCGCAAGACGTTTGCCAACCCGACCCCCATGTACGCCCGGCCCTGTCCCCCCACCATGATTTTAAAAAGGAAGATAATATGCTAATTGGATGCAGTGCGGTTGCTGGCTTCCTCCTCTGTCTGACGCCGCTCTCGTGCGACCTCATGGGCTGGCGCGGCGCCGGCGGCAACGGCGCGGCGAGCATGTAAGCGCGGCCACCCCCTCAAACTCGCACATCTCCGCCGGCAAGCCCCCGGAAACTAACAAAAAAGCCCCGTGTACTACTTCCAGGGCGGCATCCTCATGACGCTCGGCGCGCTGCTCGAGTGGATCCTCGGCAACACCTTTTCCGCCGTCGTCTTTGGCTCCTTTGGCACCTTTTGGCTCTCCTTTGCCGGCACCCTCAGCCCGTCCTTTGCCGCCTTTGCGTCGTACGCGCCCGCGGGGGAGCCGGCCGCCGCCGGTCTCGAGACGCCCGCCTTTAACGCCAGCTTCGGTACGTATCCGGACTCATTACATAAAACCTGCCCGCGCTTTGACTAAACGTTGGGGGAACTTAGGCTTTTGGCTGCTCGTCATGGCGCTGCTCTGCGTCGTCTACATGATTTGCGCCATCCGCACCAATATTATCTTTTTCCTCATCTTTTTATGCCTCGTTATTTCCTTTGGCTTGCTCACTGGCGCGTACTGGGTGCTCGCGCAGGACTTTGCTGGCAATGCGGCGCGAGCGCAGAAACTGGTCGTGGTACGTTTTCCCGCTTCCAAACGTATACAAAAAAAACTGACAAGCTGGATACAGGGAGGTGGCGCGGCTGGGTTCGCTTGCGCGTCGCTCGGATGGTACCTCTTCCTCGCGCTGCTCTTTGCCGCCGTCGACTTTCCCATCCAGCTCCCTGTCGGCGACTTGTCCTCCTTGGTCAGGGGCCACAGCGAAAGGAACAAGATGGCCTGAAGGAGAGAGATGCCGTGCTAACTTGGTGAAGGAGTGGGCTGTGGTGACCGGCTGGGAAGAGGAAGCAATCGTATTCCGTCATACAGCTGTGAAAATTGTCTTGGTGAGGCTGGCCGTGGCGATGGCGGATTTCGGTGTAATGAGAGAGCGGATGTTCTACTAAATCCTAGGTATACCGTAGCTTTAAAACTAATTAGTAAGACACTTGCGCGTCAGGAGCATCTTTATCGTTCATAGAAGGTTATTTTCCGTCACAGGTGACCTGTTCAGTGCGCCGCGCGTCTATGCGCCGACAACGCCTCAGTTGAGAGAGTTAGGGCTTAGCATATGATGACACAAGTCGGAAGACAGGAAACAACGCATCGCTTTTCATTAGATCGGTTCGTCAAGCCTTGCATTCATTCTTGCAAGCGAGCCCCCTCGCTCGTTGGCCTCATGGACAACCCTGGATACCCGGGAAGCGAAACCTGACAGCCTTGTTAGGCAGCAGCACTTGCATCACGTGAAGGCTGCATATGTGTTTCAAATGACGGCAATAAAAAGAAGACACTTTCGAGTTTTTGATATCAAGAGCCTGCCGTATCCATTCTACCTGTCCAAGAAGCGAGTACGCCCTCGACTGGGTCTCTCCTCGTCGCTCTCTGGATTCCCTGTCGTTTTACGACAACACAAGCAAGTTGCTCCCGTTGGAGGTCCTTTTCCACACCAGAAACATTCTCCAGGAAGAAAAATAACTCCAGAATAAGCATGGGCGAAGCCCCCGAGCATAGCCGGCGGTGCCACACCCCGGTCACCGCCACCAACGACCCTGTCCGTCGTCTTGACGTGCCTCACATCGTCGCATTTGGTCGTCGAAATGCCGGCAAATCTCGCGCTCTCGAGGCTATTGCTAGCATCAACTTCCCAATCTCTTTCAGTAGTTCTGCCCACTACGTGACTGAGCTCACCATGAGCCCCGGTCCCGCGTTTCGCGTCACCGCGTCAGTCCGGCTCGCGGACCCCGACGCGCGGGTCCGGGAGCTTTGCACGGGGCACTGCCTCGCTGACGTGCAGCGCTGCCTCGACGAGGCTAGGGCTGCGTTTCCGAGAACAGATCCCGAAGGTGACTTGTCCGACAGCGTCCTCGAAATCTGCATTACCGGACCCGGCCTGTTTCCGCTGCGGCTGGTCGACGTGCCCGGCGCCTCCTTTACTGAACGCAAGGAACAGGTTGAGGTCCAACGTGGATGGAGTACCGCTGTCACTACAGCAAAAGTCACGAATATCATACGCGGATATGTGAAGCCTCAAAATACCGTCATTCTTGCTGTTGTCGCGGCCGAGGATGCTGCTCGTGCTTGCAGCGACACTGTCACGGTAGCCGCAAGGTACGACCCCGAGAAAAGGCGGATTCTTGGCATTGTCACCAGAGCAGACGGCGCGGACAATGCCGCGAGATCAAGCGAAGCATACCAGAGGCTTGAAAACAAGCTGCACTGGGGATGGCATCTGCTCGGCGGCAGTGCCAGCACGGGCACGTCGGCGGACGAGGCCGAGGACCCCGATGCGGACGACTCGGGTATTCCTGGACCTAATTCGGGAGCCGCCTCCCTGCACGAAGCACTCTGTGACTTGCTGTTCCATCAGATGCAAGCCCAGATTCCGGCGGTGAAGGGCTCCGTCCAGGCGAGCCTGGCCGAGCGCCTGCAGAGCCGTGAGGCACTGGGTCCGGAGCGGCCGGCGCTGCGGGACCAGTGGTTCTTCCTCGTGCAGAGCGCCTTTGCGTTCCAGAAGCTGTGCCGCGACGCCCAGCAGCCGGAATACCCCGACGACGGCGCCGCCGCCTTCTTCCACACCGGCGGCGATGCGGCGCAGCTGGGCACACGACTGCGCTGCCTCGCCCGCGCCTTTAGTCAGATCGTGCACGACTACGGGGCTGTCGGCAACACGGTCCGGGACTACGCTTCGTATGCATCGGTCCCGCCACCGTCGAAGCGCCTCTCGGAGCTCCTCGCGCTGCAGCCGCGGCGCCCGCGCGCGGCGACGCTGCAGCACATCCCGCTCGATGAGCTGCATATCAACGCCAAGGCCATGGAGGCGAACGGTGGACAGTCACCAGCCGCCTCGGCCAGGGCGCTCTTTCGGAGACTGGCGGCAAACTGGAAAGCGCTGGCGTGGCAGTATGTGCAGCATGCGCTGTGCGAGTGCAGGGCGTTTGTCGAGCTCGCCTTTGAACATCTCGTGCCTGCGTACGGGCACACTAGGGATCTCCTTGTCGCTCGTTTTGTTGAGCCCTTTTTTGAAGAGTGCGAGGAAGCTCTCGCGGTCAAGGTGGACGAGCTTGCAGAGCCGTATGAGAAAGGGTACTGCTCGCTGTCGGAACCGACCGTTTCTGAAGACATCCCGGTTAAAAAAGTGCGAGGAAAAAGTGAGTGCAGATTAAGAAATAGCACCGAATCCGAAATCCATTGCAATGCTAAGCCATGGAGGCTACTATACAGGGCCGCCGTCCATCCTTGAGACGGTGGAAAGTTACTACGACGTAAGTCTATCGAGACACTCTTCTTGCCTGTCCTTGTGCATGGCTTTCCATCGCGGGTACCGTCTATTCCCATTCAAGGAGATGACGCTAATCAAGCGCAGGAATCGCAAGCGACCTTTACCGACAATGTCGTGAGCCTCGCCGTGGAGCGCTGTCTCGTTCGGCGCATCGGGACCTTGTTTACGCCAGAGATAGTCCGCTGCATGTCCGACGAAGAAGTCGCGGAAATTGCCTCGGAATCGCTGCACACGCAAGCGCAAAGGAAGCTACTCGAGCAGCAAATCGAGACGCTCACATCGGAGCTCGACTACTGGTGCAGATTCAGGGCTACAAAAGCGCATTGTAAGTCAACAATCGTGGTGGGCTTATTTTGGCTGCAGAACTTTTTACCTGACATTTGTTTCCTTTTTCTTCCTCAGTCAACCTCGTGCTTCCAAGTGAGTTTCAGGCGAGCTCGGCGCTCGCAGACACCATGGAGCCAGCGCCTGTCAAGTAAGAGATGGCCACGGGCAAAACGTTGCCCACGGAAGAAACGCTTGATGTCGTATACGATGGGGAAATCCCGGTGCGTCATTCAATCAAGGAGGAACTGGCCTTTCGAGTCTGGCCATCAAAAATTGAACCGTAAAAGAGCTCCAACAAAGAGCTCAAAGCTACGACCAATAGTATTGGCTTTAGGGTCGTTTAAAATTTCCCAGCTTTTGTGTGATTCATAGTGACCATCTACTCATGACGACCGTTGTGAGGCGGACAATATCCCCACCGCTGACCGCGAACTTCCTGCAGGAGGGACATATGTGATTGGAAGGAACGGTGTGACAACACATGTGACTAGGTTTTGTTGCTTTAAAGCTGTGCAACGTGGCCTTATCACGCGGATATCTCAACGTTGTCTACATCTTACAGTGTGCATGACAAACACTACGAGTACCATCAACCGCACCATCAACTACACCATCAACTAGCTCTACAATTCTGCCATGATGACGCTAGTTCAAGGACATTGCGACCCCAAATTCGCCAAGCTGCGCGACCTGATGCACGAGTTTCTCGCATCGGGCCAGGACATTGGCTGCAGCCTCTGCGTCAACCTGCACGGCGCGCCCAACGTCGTCGACCTCTGGGGCGGCCACGCCGACGCGGCGGGCACGACACCCTGGACGCGTTCCACCATTGTCGCCGTCTTCTCCGCCACCAAGCTTGTCACCAACCTGGCGGCCGCGATGCTCCTCTCGCGCGGGCTGTTGCGCGCCGATGACCCCGTGGTGCGGCACTGGCCGGGCTTCGCCGCCGCCGACGTCACCGTCGGCCAGGTGCTGGCGCACACGGCCGGCCTGTGCGCGTGGGGCGACGACGTGACGCTCGCCGACATTTTCGACGCGACCGGCGCGGCGGAGAGGCTGGCGCGCCAGGCGCCGCTGTGGCCGCCCGGCACCGCCATGGGCTACCACGGACTAACGCAGGGTGTTCTGGTCGCGGAGCTGGTGCGCCGCGTGACGGGCCTGTCTATTGACTGTTTCATCGCGCAGGAGGTGTGCGCACCGCTCGGCAGCGACGCCGACTTTCAGCTCGGGTACCGCGCGCGCGACGCCGACCGCGTGGCGCCCGTCGTGGCTCCGCCGGGACCGTCGATCCGGGAGCTACGCAGCAGACTGCCCGGCTTCCACCCGCACTCCCTCGCGGCACGCACAATCTGCAACCCCGAGCTGCTCGCGAGCGACGCTAACAGCGCGCTGTGGCGGGCGAGCGTGCAGCCGTCAGCCAACGGACACACCAACGCGCGGGCGCTTGTCAAGATCCTATCGTGCTACGCGCTCGGTGGCGTTTGCGCGGGCGGGAGCCACCGTCTGCTGTCACCGGAGACGGTTGCGCTGGTGTTTGGGGAACATGCGCGCGGCGTGGATCTGGTCCTGGGCACACCCGGGCGGCGCGGGCTCGGGGTGTATCTGACGGGGGAGGGGTCGGGCCGGCAGGGCAAGCTGCCAGACGGCCGCGTCGCTTGGGGGAGCGGATGGGGAGGCTCGTTTGTGGTCATGGATGCGGATAGGGGGATGACGATGGCGTATACGATGAATCGGATGGTGAATGGAGAGAATCCGTCGGCGGCGGCGTTTGTCAAGGCGGTGTATGATGCGCTCGGCGTTCAACTAGACGACAAAGCACATGACAACCAACACATGCACGAAGAACAGATATTCCCAAAGGGGATAAGAAAGAATCAGGAAAGGTTATAAATCGCCTTTGGCGGAGCAACTGGTGAGCGCTCTGCTTTGAGGATCTCGGGAGTGTTGGATGCTCTACCTGAGCAGTCGGCTCGCACAGCTGCACCCTACTGACAAAAAATCCAATCAAGTTCCATCTCCTAGAAATTACAGGGCGGTAGCTTCTTACTAGCGGGGTACGTAGGGCTTAGTATGCGATAGCGCTAATACACAGGTACCGGATTAGACTTGCTAGTAAAAGAGTTATTATTAGCCGAACGCCAGGCACAACCATCAAGAACTTCCTGCTCGCTGCCCGCCCCGTCACTACTCCCCAGCTACCAGAGCCAGTCCAAGAAAAACAGCTGCCCACTGTCACCCTCGCCCCCGCCGATTCACCCTCCAAGACACTCGTTGAGTTACGAAGCGTCTCGAAAGGCACCGCCCTACAGACTTGGAATCGCCTGGTGGACGTTTACCGACAAGAGCAACAGCGGCTATGAGCTAGTATGTAAAGCAGCAACATTTAAGCCAGGGTCGGGTAGGTGCTACCAAGCCCGAAGGGGAAAACCACGATACTAAGATAATAAAGATAATACAAATAATAAAAATAATAAAAATAATAAAAATAATAAAGATATCAAAGATAATAGAGATAGTAAAGATATTAAAGATAATAGAGATAGTAAAGAAATAAATATAAGAAATATAAGAAATATTTATTTTAACTTAACTCTAGTACTCCCCTAGTTAACCTATTAGATAATGTTATTAATTATCAACCTTCTATTTAAAGGCAAGTCCCTAGGCAACTGAACTTACCTAACGCCACTAATAAACTTTTTGCTCAAGGTAAGGAAGGAGGCAACTCGCTTTTTTTCACGGCTCATTCACGGTTCGCGTTTTTATCACGGCTTATTCACGGTCCGCCGCAGCAAACGGAAGAAAAAAACGGGGATGTTAGCAACTGAATATTTATTTGTATGTGCTGTCTTCCCAACTTGGTTTATTTCTTCCCTTCCTCATTCTTATTTGATTCGACTTCAACCACCACAGTCCGAAAAGGAGATGAGGCATGACCAAAAGACTGCGGAAAAAATCCACGGCACCCTCGCTGGAGCTCATACTGAAGGGATTGGCGTGCGCTCTTTCACCTGTATCATTGTCACGAGATATGATGGCAGAGACGACGACGACGACGCCAACTCCTGTGTTTGGAAATGACCCATACTTGGGAGTCATTCTCCCTTGGCATGGGCTCTTTCGAAGCCCTGTGTTGAAAGAGCCCACACCAACCCCCCAAGCGGATTCAACATTCACACGATGTCAGTGGACAAGGAGCTGGAATCGTCGGGAGTTGCCCATCTTTGCTCCCTATCAGAGCAGTCGCTCAAGAAGCTGCGGAGCGACCCTCAGCTGGCCGAAATTGTTTGTGACAATGTCAAGGGATTCTTTCAACATTGTAAGTCCAAGTCGATGCTCTCGCCGGCCGTCCCCTAAATAATTATCCATTAGGCTTTGGAAGAATACATAGGCTGCCACCAGAGACCCGAGAAGCAGCCTGTTCTGCGCTCGAGGAAACCGCCCCCGAGAACCGGAAACGTCGTCAGCGTCCAGAAAACCCGTTCATGATCCCTCCGCTAGCTCACCAACGGAGACCCTGTTACGACTTTTACTTCCTCTAAATGACCGAGTTTGGAGAGCTTCCCGGCCCGTTGCCCACCTCCGACCACAACGCGCAAACGAGCTCCTACCTCCACCCCCATCTCTCCCGGGGGGGGCACGGAAGCCGAGATTAGGCATCGCCGGTATCTTCGAGCCGGCGCAGCCCGCGGTTGACTCAGACACCACCCTGAGCGAGATGCTGAACACTTGGAAAGAGAAGGCTAGTAGAAAGACCAAATACCCAGAGGTCAGTAACTCACTTGGCTTCCCCCCCCTTCTCTACGAGAGCCCGACAGTTGGACTGACTTATCCATTTTCTAGGTGAACAATCGCGACCGCCGCCACTGCGTCATCACCGGCCAGGGGGCTGAGGCATGACCAAAAGACTGTGCAAAAATTACACGGCACCTTCGCTGGAGTTCATGCTGCAGCTCCTTTTTGGTTCTCGCTTTACCGCTCGCCTTGATCATCTCATGGGCTCATTCAATTCCTCTGACAAGGACTGGAACGAGGACGTTTTAGAAGGCATGACCAGTGCCAGCGCTGAATATGAGCGCGATGAGACGAGACTCCGAGTTATCGGAGGTATTGTCGCCCTCGGCATCAGTGAGTTTCTTCTCGTCCTTTGGAATGAAGTAGCCGCACTGCACGCCGTCTTCGATCTCTTGGCCCGCTCCCATAAGGATGTCGATGGACAGCTCCATGCCAGGCTTCCAGCACTTGGCATATCGTTTCAGCATGTCCCATTCGATATATGCGATCAGTGGAAAGGTGATCAAAAACGGTGATCGGTTTTCCGTTGATTTCAAGGATTACGAAATGCTTGCTTTCCGTTGGGCCGTATGCATGATCTACTGTATGGCTGGCGCCGCTCGCAGAACCGAGGAGCGCGGCGGCAGATGAAAAATCAAATTGCAAAGAGAAAAAAAAACAAGAAGAATGGTCAAAAAAATGTACAACACCCGGTGTTCTGGTTGTCACCGACCCAACTACTAATCTGGCGCTCAAGTGGTTTTCAATCGGAGATCGGGCGGGATCCAGAATTTTCACTCGGCTATGGTTGGGCTCCATCAGCTTGAGGTTGAGTCCGAGAAGACCTTGGTACCGAGGTGGGCCAATTTGGTACGATGGAGACCATAGATGAGATGTCGTCGGGACCTGGATTCAAGAAGAAAAGCTATCATCATGAGTCTTCCGAAGCAAGCAATTCGAGCGATGGCACCAAAGCCAGATCAAATGCTCCCTCTATGTCCAGCAGAGATGATCAGTCAAACCAAGACGTCGCTTCAGGTTCGGACGATGCGGGCCTCGCTACGCCACCGAACAACCCTCTGTCGACGGCCGGGGTGTGCTACTTACGCGCATGCCAGTGGGGTGACCCCGTATGCGATGATGCGCTCGCCTACTTCCTGGGCTTGCAGTGCCTCGAGAAGGATGAGCGCCAGCTTGGGTGAGTCGTAGCAGAAGAAGCGGACCATGGCGAAGCGCGACTCCGGGGCCGAGTACTGCGGGCCCGCTCGCATGGCGTAGAACGCCCACAGGAGTCCTCTCGAGATGTGGTGCGTGAACTGCTCGTTGATGTCCTGGACACCGGCCGGGGCTCTCGCTGCCTGCATGATCGGTCTGATGTCGTCTGGTGTCAAGCTGACCAGCTCGGCGTACTCCTCTGCGTCGACGTCAAAGGGCGTCTCCTCCAAACCTTTCAGCAACTCCCCGAGGCTAGTAAATCCACAGAGGACCTCGAGCTTGTGCTTTACCGAATGGCCACTACCGGCTTGGACAAGAGTTGAGGCCTATCGATGGTTTGGTGTAATGGAAGATGATGTATGCGGAAGAGATTGCTAGCGAGAGGGGTGCTGAAGTCCAGTAGATATCGAAGCTGACTCAGTATGCAATGTTATTCTTGCAATTCTGCATTATGTTGGGCAGGTATCTTGCGTTTCCTTTGGCAACAGTCAATCAATACATGTACTGGGTGATGACAGACGGCCCGGAAGCCGGAGGAACGATCTCCCAGTATATCTGGCACATATGTGTACCATACAACCAGATAGAACTTACACAATACAACAACTTCACCTCTCATCCTATGTGGGCCCTGTTGGTTACAATACTGGGACCACCATGGTACACATAGGATGAGAGAGATGTAGTTGTATTGTGTAAGTTCTATCTGGTTGTATGGTACACACATGTGCCAGATATATTGGTTGACGGGGGACCGTTCCTCCGGCTTCCGGGCCATCTGCCATCAATATCGTACACCGAGGACGCGGTATACGTCGTGTTTGCTCTGGATCTTGCGCTTGGACGTGACGTGGGAGCAGTTCCAGATCGCTTGTTCATTTCGACGGTGGTCTGCTGGAGGCATCCAGAAACGGACAGTGTCGCAACACCTTTGACGGTTCACGGCAAACAGCGCGATTTGCGATCCTCGAACGGGCTTGTGGAGCGACGCTATTCCCACCGCCGTCGTCATGGCTTCAAGTATCGAAAACATGTCGACATGATCAATTTCCATGAGATATCCTATTAGCAATCTTTAAGTCAACCTGAACGCAAGCCATCGAACCCCTTCTTCCGCCCTCTGCTCTCGGGACCACTCTTTGTTTCTTCCCTGTCGCTGTACCGTTGTCGGGCGCTGGTTACCCCTTTCTTTTCCTAGTTTCATCGATATCATATTTCCCTGACCGCCCAAAGTCGGACTCGGAGTCCGTCTCCGCGTCCACCTCCCACATCCCCACGCCGCCAGCTAAGCATAGAGCCAGACTAACAGCCCATCGAAAAGCTAGCATGATGTACATGTTCTCCGCCTGCCTATGGTCGCGGTGTGCAATAGAGAATACTTGGTTGTCGAGAATTTTCTCACCAGTAACCGTATTAGTTTCGCATATGCCAGATCGCTGTTTGTTGAACACGGTATCTGTCCTCAGCATTGATTTGATGTCCGCCTTTCTGGGGGAGGAGATGTAATGGTTGGCGACAACTTCGTTTTCAAACAGCCAGTGCACAGAGAAGTATACAGTATGCTCTTCTCTACCCTTTGTGTTGCTGCTTTTGAGGGCGATTGGGCGCAGTGCGAGATACCCGTCGTCGAAGAGGCGACCGAGGTAGAGATTAAGCGTGATGATATTCCACTTGGTATGGGAGTTGCCGACCCTTGACGCCAGTAGCTCGCGAGCACGCGCTGTAAAGGTAGGACCGAACAGTATTTCAGGAACCCCGAAGAGCTGCTGAAGCAGGCGTGTCGAGCCTGGGCTAGAGTTGGTGTCGAATGGCATGATATACGTCTTGCAGAGAGCGTGTCGCTTACCAGAGATAGCACAGACAGCTTCGCCTCGCTCCCCGTCCTAGGAGTACTATTAGTGAATGGATATTGCGAAGAGCTAGATAAATAGAGGGCTTGTAATAAGACGTGAAAAACGACTTAAGTATGAACTGATAGGGGTAAAATAAAGTAATATATAGAGATACTTACGTGCAAGGTGTGTCTTGAATGTATGGCGTCCCATGACATCAGAGGCTTATCCCGGTAATGACGGTATCGGATGGACACATGTCCCGAGCCTGTTTTTTGTTAGTCGGGGATCAGGATCAATCGACTGCGTGTAGATAGATTATAGGAATAAAAAGCTCACATAGTAGAAGAAACTCCTTGGCGGAGTCACAGACCGTCTCAATCAGCTTAGGGTCTTGTGACAGCCGCATTAGAGAGTCATCACTCATACTGTATAGAAGACCATACATCCACCACGTCATTTTCTTCCATCCCATACCCAGGCGACACCAGGAACGAGATTCTGAACCAACGGGCACGACGATAGACGAGTATATAGCTTCAATCTTTTGAAGCAACGGGATCTTACTCTGAAGTGCCGTTTCAGAGTCCTTTGTCAACGGCGGAGGAACATAAACATCCGAGACGGAGTCTTTCCAGGACAGGAAAGGAACATAAACAGATTCCTCAGAGTCATCAGAGTCATCAGGGCTATCAGACTGATCCGAGTCATTCGCGTCTTCGGATCCATCACAGGCATCACCAGAATCCTTGAAGTCATCGATGTTGTCAGGCCTGTTGGGCGCAGGGTCAACAGTGTCAGTGGATTCAGAAAGATCGACAGGCTCGGCAGGCCCGACAGGCTCGACGGAGGCATCGCGAGCGCCAGACATTTCGTCGGTCGTCGAGTGCGCTGGCTGTTTGGGATGGTCGAATGTGCTGGCTCTTCAGTGTTGTCAAGTGCTGTAACTATTCCGATGAGGAGACGTCTCTCTGGTAGTAAAAAGGACTTGGGGATGATGGCCGCGTCTTTTTTGATCTGAGGAAAATATTGTAGAGGACGTTTGCGATGGCTGCAGTTGTTGAGGGAAGTGAGTTTCAGCGACAAGTGCCAAGGCGGCGCGACACCTGCACTTATAGAATGCAGGCGGCACCTTGCCAAATTATTATTTCACGGTGTCCCTAGGTAGTTAGGCTTTGGCGTTTGTCAACTCTATTTTGACTCGTGGCGATTTTTCTTACGGCGCGCAAGTATATTTTAATTGAAATAGCGCGGTCGAGACAACGCTTCGTGACAGCCCTGTCCAAGTTCGGTCTCATTCCGGAGTACTCCAGAACGCATCTAAAACCAACAGGTGCGGCTCGAAGGAAAAGGACATTTATCCTTTCCTTTCCGACGCAATGCGAGGCAGCAACATGACGATTCCACGATTTACCTACCGATCAGTTGACCCTTTCGAACAACACACAATTGCACTACCTAGGCAGTCATGACTAGATGAAAAAGTTTGCTCTTTGGCCATATAGGTACTCAATAAATCACGACTTGACACAATCCATGGAAGTTTCTTTGACTGTTAATTATATACAGAAGCCGCCTCCTTGCCGGCAAACAGAACAATAACCCCTTTCAAAAGTTGGGCCTCTACGCCAAACGGAAAGACCTCGAACATGACTGAACTGCGCTCGTGCGGATGTGTTTCGTTTCAGTTTATCGAGGGAAAGAAGAAGAAATGTCAAAAAAGTGTACATGTTGTGGATGTGTGTGCGTGCGTGTGTTGTGCTCCGTTCTTGTCCCTGTTGTGACAAAAAATGCCTTGCTTGTGGATAATTTTTCCGTCTATATGTCAGTGTTCAAAGGTGGAGAGAACAGGAAAAAGAAAAAAAAAATCAAAATGCAACTAGATGCTGCTTTGTGATTCCAGGTCGACTCCGAAAAAGTGTATGCCGAGAGATGCGTAAAGCAACGAGAAGAAAATGCGCCGTTGCTCAAAATCGAAACTCCGAAAATGCATGGTGGTCCTGATTTTACAACAGGATTTGCTTATTGACGCATACCCCATTGAGGCTTCAGTTGGTCACCAAAGTTGCCCGTAGTAAAGACGGTATCGCCGGGTAGACGGCTGACGCGGCCGGCACCATTTCTGATTGCGCCGAGCTGCACAGCTGAGATGCCGCTACGGTTGCTCTTGATGCTTCCGGCGTCGCTCGCGTTGCCGTCGTCTTTGAACCTCTTCGGCGGCGCAAAGTCGAGGCCGGTAAATGTCGATGACTTACGAAGCAGATGCGGGCTAGGAAGGGCAGCGAGCTCGTCAAAGGCTGTGACAATGGGGGTAGTACCAGCGTGGCCCGGTTTGTATGGTCGGCGCTCACCCAGAGGGCTTTGGCTGCGACCGGCAACCTGGTCTTTGAACAGTTCGGGCGGTGCAAAGTCCATGGCGTTCAGGAGAGCGTTGTCATCCTTGAGCTTGGAGGGCGTGGGCAGTGTGTTGAGAGCGGCAGGCGGGGGCAGCTTCCTCTTGGGTTGGCTGAAGTGGCCATGGGAACCAGCGCGGGGGCGGCCACGTCCTCCGGGCAGACTCATGCCGCCGACAGAGCCAGGCCCTCGTGGTCTGCCAGGACCCGGGGGTCCGCGACGGGCGCCACCAGGGGGCGGTGTCATGGCGCGGCGAGTAACGGGCTGAGCATATGGCATGACAAAGGCATTGCTATCGGCGTCGTAGTAAGCCGCGTCACCAAGGTAGCCGGCGTTGTAGTCGTCCTGACGTTCCGGTTGGCCTGGCAGGGGCGGTGCGTCGGCATAGTCCTCAAAGTACTCCTTGTAGAAGGATCTGATACGATTGGCGCGGTACTCGGGGTCCTCAGACTGGGTGACCTCGGCAGGCGGCAGAGGTACAACACCAACGGACAGTCGCTTGGCTGCTGTCTGCGGAACACCCAGGCCGTCACCCATGTGGCCTTGGTGCAAATCATCGGCTACGTAGTCTGTGTCTTCATAGTACTCTGTTGTGTGGATTTGAGGGTAAGCGTCGTTGTGTTCGTCGTAGACTACATGGCTGCTGTCGATGGGATGGCTATACATGTCTTCGGAAGGAGACAAAACAGTTGGCATCCCAACATTGAGACCCAGTCCCTGGTTGTGGTGGGGGTTCTGGTGACCGATATCATCGCTGAGCTGAGCGACACCAATCCGGGCTTCATGATCGACGGTTCCAGGAAGCTCGAAGCGGAAGCTGTTGTCAATGGGCAGACCAGTTTTGGGGTCTTTGGCAAGGGCAGCGGGCGGGGAGGCAACATCGGGCATCTCGTAGATGCTCTGGTCGTCGGCGTGAGCGTCGTGTACAGTGCCGATCTCAGGAACGATTGGCTGCACGGGAAAGTTGTTGTCGGGGATAGAGGGAGGTGCTTCAAGTTGTGCCATGTGAGCAGGCTCTGGCTGAGTTGGCGTAGCAAAGGGGTCGGTGGCGAGAGGCGACTGAGACTTGGAATGTGAGCGAGGAGGGAGGTTGCTGGCGAACGATTGACGTTTGCTGCTCCTGGGAGAATAAGGATCTCCGGGGAATGATCGAATCGAAGAGCCATCACCACCGGAGTAAAGAGGCACGGTGTGGTACGGGTCCTGTCGATTGTTGTACGACTTGGCGAGAGAATGGATCGAGTCCTTGGACTGGTTGAGATCTGGGGGGAGCAGATAGGGAGAAGAGAGGTTCATATCCATGGACAACTGCCCCGGACGGTGCTGTTGCTTCTCGCCGCCGGCACCAAACATGGACGTCATTCGCTTCCCCTTAGATGGAGCTTCGTCCAAGCCGTAGTCGAGGTTGGTCTCCCGGTATTTGGCATCTTCCATGTGCATGCGTTTGACGCTTCGTCGGTGGAGGAAAAAGAAGGTGATGGCGGCAGCAACGACAGGAATACTGTACTGTATTAGCAAGAAAATGGCAGAGCCGTGGCAGCAGCAGCATCTTACACAACTCCAAGGGCAATAGCCAAGTTAGTCGCATTGGGGCTAATGCCACGACCACACGTCTCGTTTTTAGAGCAAATACGGTCCTCATCCGCCCGGCGAAGGATCCGGGAGAAAAATTTGGGCCCTTCTGTAGCAACTTGGCGCGCCAAGTTACCGTGCGGATGCCTAGGCTGTGAAGCAGCGACAGGGCTCCCTTGCTGATTGTCCATGGCGGAGGAGCTCGACAAGAAAGGTATGTGAAATGGCAGAGAGGGCGCTTGATAACGAGACTCAGGCGTGCATTTCCGGGGATTAAGACGTGGTTAGAGGACAAAAATAACAGTCGTTATGTTCCTCGTCAGGTGGTGAGAGCTAATTGTACCACCAGGAACGATATTTGGGCGAAACGATGGCGACGGAGCGTACTGCAACGGCGAGAACTGAGAGAATTCGGCGCGGAAAATGTCGAGAAAAAAACAGACTCGTCCAGAGTCGGGAGGCGGTTTCGAGGATCGAACGGGCTTGCCGTAGGGTGAGAAAGGAGTGACGCGGTGTATTGGGTGCACCGAAGCGTGGGTCGCTGTTGAATTAAGGAATGACTGTAGTATGAGTAAACAAACCGCTGAAAGCAGAGAGCTGGAACAATCTAAAGAGTGACGAAAAAGAGCGTGAGGATTGGACGAGGAAAAAACACGGAACCGCGAGGCCGGCCTGGAACGAAATTGCTAGAGAGGAGGGAAAGGAAGGGAAGGAAGAGAGAAAAGAGAGTGTTTGGATGGATGAGGCTCGCAAACGGGAACAGGAGAGGGGAGGGCGATGAGCCTGCTGGGGTGAGGGTGGACAGGCTGGGCGAATTAGACAGGGGGCTTTATCCTAGTCAGGTACCAGCAGCGGGCCGACTGAGAAAGAAATACAGGACACCGAGCGCTGGATGACAGCTCATTTGGCGACCAAGAAACCGCTACAATTGGGTACATCAGCCACTGCCGCTCAACTTTTGGGGCTTGTTAACCTAAGGCGGGTGCCTGACGCTAGAACTCGAAGCGGAAAGGCACCAAACCAGGCAGGCCAGGGCTTGAGCGAAAGGCAGCCAAGGTGCGAATCAGCGGCATCGAGCCTGGGTTGGGTGCGTGCGTGTGCTCCAATACTGCTCCAATACAGCTTACCGAATGGAGCTGTACCGCAGTGCAAAAAAAAACATGAGCGGGGCGATTACTGGTAATAATAAGAGCGGCGGCGGTCTAGGCAGTGCTGCAGACCGGCCGCCATTGCTCGTGACAGCCAATTGCTTTGTTGCAAGAGGTTTATTACTGGTAAATTGTTAATGGGCCTCTCTGTTGGAAACCCGCCACAGACTACTAGGGGTTATCGTGACAGGGTTTCGCTACAGAAAAAGGGACAGCTAGTACGAATTATTAATATCAGATAAGAGTGCTACCAAAAACACCGAGCTGCAACGATGAGGAATTTCGCACAGGCAGAATCGTTCGACCAAGAGGAACGTGGCGACGCTGATGTACGGGATGGTTCGCCGAGTTGCGTTTCGGTTGTTGTTATGCATATGCATGTTCATTGCGCAGGACAGGGGGACAAAGGTCGGGAACGCTGTGTTTCATGCTTAGGTACCTACACAACTGCCCGAGTGCGATATGTTGCACGCCTCTCTCTTATCGCGTGCTTGATATGTACATAGGTGTGTATAGAATACGGGACGCAACTATGTATAAAATCTCCAGTGGGTAATTTATGCAGAGATGGGAGGGGGATTGTGGGCGGATGACCGTCCCATTTTCCCCTTGTTTGCCACCGATGCATGAGAAACGACTTTCGATAATAAAACGCCAATCAATGGCCTCGGGGTTCCACGACTCTTGGCGTCTGCGATCGAGGCCTTGTGCCATCGCCGAGCTCTTGAATCCAACATTTTTGTTAACCAGAAGCGTATCCCGACTATTTTGCATATTCATGCTTGATAATACCATTGCACTCGTGCTCCGTCGGTCAAATGTAACGTCGACCCTGGAATATCAATGGCCAGGACCACATACGCTAAAAAAAATCAAAGCAAGTCCCCAACTACCGCAAAATCCAGGAACAGGAAAAGGGGGCGCCAGCTCTCGCAAATTGATTGGCCCCAGGGGGCGTTGGCACAACCCACTCGCTCATGCAGGTACCAGACAAGGAAGCAAGGAAGAAGGCAAGGAGGTCATCATCATCATCAAAGAAATGAGGTGTGTGGGGGGAATTTCTGTCTCTGACAGCAGAAATTCACGGCACGACCAGTCAACTTTTCTGCTTGCTTCAAAAAGAAAGAAAGAAAGAAATGTTGCTCCGGTTAGCCGGGCCTTCTAGACGAAATGCGCTCGCTTGGCCCTCGTCGAACCATCAGTTCGCACACGACAGCATTCCAGCCTTAAGCCTCAAAACAAACAATGAAGCGGGGAAGTGGAAAGGAAAACCTGAGGCAAACCGATAATAGCAAAGAAGACCCATATGTATCTCCCACCCTGCCAATATTAATTGTGTCATGGTTAGCGACGGGGGCTTTTTCTGAGCGCATTTTAATGCCAGATAACATCCCCTGCTTCTTCACTTGTCCAGATTCTTGCTTATTTTGAATCAACAAAATCTATCAAGTTCTAAAAATACACGTCTACCAGTCTCTCAAATATTGTTGCTTCTTTGTTGCACTTATATTCATTCCCACTGCCACAAACTCTGTTCGTGCCTCTCCCGTCCAGCTCGTAGACCGTGCCTTGCTTCTCCATTCTTGCATCTTAATATATTTCTTAACTCGTCTTTTGTTCCTCAATTCGATACTCAAAGTTGACGAGAGCCGAGAGTTGCAATCCTGCACTTCACAGATAATTAACTAATTCATTAATACCTAACTAGGCTCTCTGACGCCTTGGACCTGCAGATGCCAGCGTTCTAGACCCTCCCGGCATTGCACCATTACCAGAAACCATTGAATAGGAAATCCGCCGAGAGGCGTTTCTTCCAGTAACTAGTTACTATGAAGGCCATATTCTTCTTGCCGGCCGTATGGCCCAGTTTGGAAGAAGCCCTGACAAAGAATACTTGCAGCGGGAGAGAACTTCTGGGAAGAGACGCAAGCCAGCTATGGTGGTGTCAGCCATCGAGGCGCTGTCATGTAATTCATTGGACGCGTAGACTATGTCCGACTTGGCCAATAGTATTACAACTGCACTACTGCTCTCTGCGCGTACTTGTCACCTGGTAGAATTCTGGCGCATACTCCAGCAGCCAACCCTTTTCCGTCTTGCTCACCTCCCGTATGTAGGTCTTGTCATTCGTCTCCATGACCTCATGGAAGACGACCCAGTCTGCCTTGCGCCCAAACAGCAGCGAGCTCGGGTGCGCGTGCAGCACCGTGCCGCCCTCGACGTTTCGAAACGTGCCGTCCGCCTGCATCCGTGCTGCGTGCGCAAAGTAGCCCGCCGTCAGGCACCGCAGGATCGCCTCGGCCTTGCTGGCCCTGTCTTGCTGTTGTGGCTGCGACAGGGTCTCGTCCACAACGATGCCGAACCGCTCCAGGTACCGCTTCAGCTGCGCGCGGATGCTCACGGCGCGCGTCATGGCCCGAAAGTTGAGGTGGTTACCGTGGCAAAACTTGGCTTCTTTCTTGCCACGCGCGACAAAGGCCTGGTACGCGTTGAGCAGCGTGAGGTGGTCGCCCTCCTCGGCGGCAAACTTGCGCCGCGCGCTCTCCATGGCTTTGCGCTCGCCCTCATGATGGAACCACACGTTGCTACCCAGACTCGTCATGGCCGCAATCGAGAGCATCTCGCTGAGGCAGCCAAACGACGGCGCGGACAGAAGCGTCTTGGCCATCATCGGCTCCACGGCCAACTCCGCCATACGCATGCCCAGCGGCCGCGTCAGCTTGGCGTACTCGTCCAGCGCGCCGAGTGAGTACAAAAGCTCCAGTGCTTTGCCGACGAGCTGCGAGGGTGGCGGCGATAAAAAGTCGAAGCGCACGATGTTGTCGATGCCGAGAGCCTTGAGCTGGAGTATGGTTGGGGCAAGATTCGATCGCTGAATCTCGGGCGGGTTGCTTTGTGCCAGCCCGTTGAAGGCTTGCTCCGTGTAGAGACGAAAACATTTGCCGGGCTTCGTTCGACCGGCACGTCCTGCGCGCTGTGCGGCAGACGCCTTGGATATGGGTGTTGCCGTTAAGGACTCGATACCCGTCTTGGGATTGTAGGCGCGTAACTTGACATAGCCCGTGTCGACGACAAACACAACCCCGTCGATGGTCACTGATGCTTCGGCAATGTTCGTGGAAAATACCACTTTTCTTGTTCCTTCGCGTGGTTTATCAAAGACGTACATTTGCTCTTCCGTAGTCAGACCAGCATAGAGAGGCATCGGCTGCAACGCTCCGTACTTGGCTTCGAGGTCCGTGGCGCGTTCTGAAATAGCCTGTACTGCAAAGTCGATTTCCTCTCGTCCAGTCATAAACACCAAGATATCGCCCTCGCCTTCCTGGGTGTGTATGTCCACGACTGTGGAGATGGCCTTTTCGACATAATTTTCCGCAGGTGCTTCTAGATGCATCAAATCAATCGGAAACGTCCGACCTTCCAGGCTGACCACCGTTCCTACTTTGCTTGTCCCATTTTCGTTGTCAGTTTTTGGCGCTTCCTCGCTGCTCAAGGTGAAAAATCTCAGAAACGTCTCCGCCTCTAGCGTCGCGCTGCTGATGATGATGCGCAGCTCGGGGCGCTTCCTGCGAATCTTTTTTAGCAGTCCAAGTAAGATATCTGTGCTGATGGACCGCTCATGGGCTTCGTCGACCATAATCACCGAATATCTGCTCAAGAGCGGGTCAACCAGCGCCTCGCGGATAAGTAGGCCGTCGGTGAGAAACTTGATACGCGTCGACGCGGAGGTGACATCCTCGAAACGTATCGAGTATCCCACCTCTTTTCCAACCTCGCACCCGACCTCATCAGCGACGCGTAAGGCAACTGTCGTGGCTGCGACGCGTCTTGGCTGTATTTGTTAGCGCGTCAGGAATAGAGTCGCGTGCTTCTCGTTGTCAACGTACCTGCGTCACGCCAATTATCTTGCCGTCATTGCACCATCCAGCCTTTTCCAGAAACTGGGGTATCTGTGTCGTCTTTCCGGATCCGGTTTGGCCAATGACTATCGTCACCGGATATGTCTCTATTGTGTATAGCAGGCTCTCTCTATGTTTGGCGATAGGCAGCAGCGCCGGGGGCTTATGCAATGCCGGTATGAAGCTTGCATCAAGATCATTTTCTGCCATGGTTTAGGCAGCCGTCAATCGCTGTTTCGGGAAAGAAACGGACGCGACAACAACCAATGGGCTTTTGCACACCGGAATTTCGGGATCAACCAACCGTAGCATATAACTCACTCAAAGCCATTGCGCAAAGAACATCACGGCCCTCTCAAAAAGTTGGAAAACAGATAAGTCGCGTTTGGAAAGAAATAACTACCCTGGACCGAACCGGGTAGAAGAGGCTGAAGCTTTGGCGTGGCGAAGCAAGTGTGGCTTGGGGCGTCGTCTCGTCAGTGGGGCACGTCATCGTTGTCGCAACTACTCGACCCCCTCGTTATGACACCAGTCGACGCCCAGTGAAACGGAAAGCATCCGATGTCTGCTTTTTAAGCACATACCCGCACTTACCACTTCATCAGCGATCGCAGTTATCCAACCTCAACACCAAAACTTCATAACCTCATAAAAGTCGTGCTGCGCCACAACCAAGAACCACTGACCAGGGGCTCACGATGGCGTCTACCACAGCAGAGACGGTGAGGGTCAGCAGTACCCGTTATTTTTCAAACCGGGTAAACTAACTTAAGCTTGTGACAGGACAAGCCCTCCAAGCCTACCGTACAGGACGTTCCCGAATCACCCACCACAGCTCGCCCCCTCGAGATGGACGACGACGACGTGCAGGACACGAGCATCGTCGCCAACGACGCGACGGCCACACCTACCAAGGCTACGGCTGCGGCTACGGCTGCGACGAAACTAACAGTCCCCGAAAGCCAGGTCTCTACAGGCGAAGCCCACACTGCGGCGCCTGGCGACACGGAAGCTCCGCCCGCGAAGCCTCCCCGTCCCATGTCGGAAGCGCAGAAGAATGAGATTATCCTAAAGGAAGCTTTCCCATCAGTGGACCAGGGCATCATCAAAGCTGTCCTGAGAGCAAGTGCTGGAAAGGTTGAGCCAGCTTTCAACGCTTTGCTGGGTAAGTAGATAACATTGTTGCTCGGAACCCAAGATTGCTAATTCGTACCATAGAGATGACCGACCCCGACGCTGTACAGAACGAGCCTGAAGAACAGCCGCCAGCGCGCCCTCCTCGTCCGGAGGGACAGGCCCCCATCTCGCAACTCGAGGCTGACGAGCTCTATGCTCGCCAGCTGGCTGAACATTACGACAACGTCGGTGCTTACGAGGCCCGCACCTCGAGCCTGAACCGCGACGGCCGACCGCGCAACCCTGGGGATGACGACCGTGAGCACAGCTTTCTCGACGACGACCTCCCCGTGATCCGAGAGAACCTGCGCAAGGGATTCATTGACACGCAAACAAAGGTCAATGGCTGGATTGCTGGGATAAGAAAGAAGCTGGAAGATAGCTTTGACGAGACGGAAGAGCGGACACAGAGTGAGGGCCAGCCCTTCCGACGCCAAGGCGAGGCAAGCCGTCGGAGCGGCGACTACGACCGCTACGATGCAGACCCGCAGGTTCTCAGCGATGACTTCGCCGGTATGCGATTCTCGTCGGATGGCCGTAAGTGCATTTACAACTTGTGCAACGTGGTAGTAGCCTAATGTGTCGCAGATCCCACCAACCACCCGTTGTCGAACCAGGGTCTGCACCGACCTCCACCCCCGTCAAAATCACCCAGACCCGATGGCCGAAGGGTCGGCTTCAAGGAAGGACATGAGGAGATCAACATGTACGACTCATCACCCAAAGTGCCACCCAAGGATAACCCGGCGGCGGTCAGCAAGGCCAGCAAGTGGCAGCCGCTGTCCACCGTGGAGCCTGAGCCTATCACGGACAACGATCCTTTCAGCCTAGGCGACAGCGAGGACGAGAAGGAGGCCAAAGAGACGAAGTCTAAGGAAACCAAGGAGGACAAGGATGGCGGGGCGGCAAAGGTCGACGAGACAGCGGAGCGCGTGAAGAAGGCGACGGCCGAGGCCATGGCGGACAGCTTAGCTGAACCAACCAAGGCAGAAGAGGCCGCGGCCAAGAAGAACTGAGCGGAAACGGGATGATGTTAAGTGGAAGCGGCTTTATGGTGGTAGGTGTATTTGTGTTGCATATGTTAATTGGAAGTGGCTTTATGGTGTGTTTGTGTTGTGTGTGTTAATAGCCGTGTAAGTTGTCAACAGATTGACCGACCAGCCCTTTTCTTCTCTCAACAACAAAGAAACGTTTAAGCCAAATAAAGTATTTGTCTACAATCCTTGTTATTTTCATTGTAGCTTACATGTTGTAGTGGGACACATGAAGCAATGAACCATGAGATTGGCAACAGTCAGGTGGGACGCGGGGTAATTGGAGGGGGATTGACCTTGTGTGACGTCGCACGGTAGGATACATTAGTAGTCAAGTGATGGGCATATTATAGGATCTCAACAGCCACGGCGGGTCGGGTGAGGCAAAGGCTGGTGATACAGCACGCGTTGCAATGCATAGAGTTTGTTGAGATCGCTGGAACTGCCACCATGTGTGGTCAGAGCTTAAACCAAACACTGAGCGTTTGCATGATGATAATGTTACCTTGCGTACTGCACGGAGCAGGCTGTGACTAAAAGTAGAGCAGTCCGTTGGAACCAGGGCCATGAGTCGACCTTGTCGCGCCCTGTCGCCTGTCGCACGACCACGAGGTCTCAGCGAGCGCGTCTATTGGCCGCAACAAACAACGGCAAGAAGCAAGGCTGCCTACTCAAAAAAGCCGTTGAAAGGGATTATAACAGATGCGTAGTAAATCTGCGCGGATTACTGTTAGACGGTTAAACCTCGGTCACAAATTTTCGGTCTCTTCCGGCAACTCTCCCACTTTACCTCTGGTGACTGGTAACTAGCTCCTCCTCCGAGTCCACCAGCAAGCAAGCTTGTGCCCCATGTCTTTCTGGAAGTGGGATAAGAGATCCGCAGCTACACATACTATTACGCCGTGCACACCACACCGTCCCACGCAGCAAAGCAAACCGGTCACCACAACGCTTCAATACCTGTCAAGCAGACCAGAAGCATCGCTCCTACGATAGTGAAGGTCCGTCCGCCTAAGTCGAAAAAAGCCCACTGCTTGATTGGCGCTGTTTCCAGCCCAGTGTCTAGGTAGCCAGCTCTTCCTGCCTTGCTACACTGGCTCCTGCTCTTCACCTCTCACGGGAATCATGCCCTAACCAGAAACTCCATCAGCCCCGTCAAATCGAAATCCGTCTTCATATCCCTCAAGCTTGCCAGGTTTTCCCGTCCTTTGAGAAGAGGAAGAGCTGACCCCGCCTTGAGCTTGCTTCGCTTCGTCGCCCGTTTGACATATCAGACAGACGAAAGTTTAGCCCTTGCAGGAACACATCGTTGCTGCTGCTACCATCTGCACATCTGCACATCTACATTGTACCATTGTTCCTCTTGCCTGCAGCACCCTCTGGTCCTGCTACAGCTTCCCACCTACACACTGTACTTTGATAGGCTCTTGCCTTACCGCGAGGAATCCCGCCCGCTAAAAGGCACTCCAGCCAACGCGTCGAGCCTGGCTGCAGCCAAACCAAGCGCAAGGCACACACCACACGCCACCTGACCTGACCTGACCATCAAGGCTGCCGTACGGCCTGCAGCTTGATATTGCCTCTCCAGCTTACGGCCACATCACCGCGCTGCACCGGTAGCTTCAGGCTCTCTGGCGCAACGGTACCCGAAGCCACGCTTCCTCTCCCACAGACCAGGCGCTCACTCTGTCCTTCTATCCCGCTCGCGCTACTCTGAATCCTGAAGCTGCGACTTGCAGCTCTGCGCCCCTGTCTCGCCTCCTGCCGTCCCCGAGGCCGCCACTCACACGCACCTTGCGTCAGCTCTTGCCATTCCGGCATCGCACCTGTGCCGCCCGCCGTAAGCTCCGGAGCCACGGAGCCATATCTTTTGCTCACTCACCTTTGGCTTCGCGGAGTTGCATACTGCTGTCGTGGACGCTGGCCTTCGGTGACGAGTTCTTTTTCATTTGGCCTCGGCCGATACACTCACTCCACCAAAAACCCTGCACGACGACCCCTCCTACTGTCATGAGGAGCTCTCTCTCGCGCTACTAAATCTCTTCTTCTTTTCCATCCCTGTCGTACTGGACACGCAGCTCGTTGCTCTCGCGCACTCCTCCCACCTACCCCTGGACCCCTTTGCAGCTTTAAGAGGTATACACAGACGACTTTCTTTCTACGCAAGAGCGTAAGCTTCCGAATTCATCATGTAAGCTCGCCTGGTCTGGACGTTAATCCCGGCTTCTACGTATCGTCATTGGCGCAAAGCCGCCACAATTCGACTACTTACATACTGCGATATAGGAAGTTCGGAAAGCAAATTCAGAAACGCCAGCTCGAGGTCCCCGAATATGCAGCTAGCTTTGTAAACTACAAGGCTCTGAAAAAGGTGTGTAGATTGCTTCCTGTGTCAGGTGGCGGCGCAAAGGATACCGATGCCCCGGCCAACTTCGCGGTGAACGCTTGCACTGGTGCCTGAGTGCCTGCTACAGATACACGTACTACCCGCTGAACACATCGCTGACATGCTGTGCAGCTTATCAAAAAGCTCTCGGCGACCCCTACGCTAAGCGCCCAGAACGATGGCCAACGGACAGGAGCCCTCGCCGACTCACAGGCTGCCCTCCAGGCTAACAAAGCCACATTCTTCTTCCAACTAGTATGGCTCCTGTCGGAATTGTATGATAGTTTCTAACGTCAGCAGGAACGAGAACTTGACAAGGTCAACGTATTTTACCTTCAAAAAGAGGCAGAGGTAGGCTTGAACCCGCAGCCCACAGGAATCGATTTAACGCGTTGCAGCTCAAAATACGCCTCAAGACCCTTCTCGATAAGAAAAAGGTCATCCAATCCCGCCAAGGCATTTCAAGACGTTCGTCCAGATTCACAACCTTGGAAGAAGGCTTCCAGCAATTCGCTACCGATCTTAGCAAACTTCAACAATTTGTCGAAATCAACGGCACCGCCTTCTCTAAAATTCTAAAAAAATGGGACAAGACATCAAAATCAAAAACAAAGGAGCTGTATTTGTCAAGAGCTGTCGAGGTTCAGCCCTTCTTCAACGCTACCGTAATAAGCGAACTATCGGATCAGGCCACGACAAGTTTACAAGAACTTGGTGCCTGGTCAGATGGCATCCAAGTCAACTTTCAGGCGTCTGGCCATGTCGTAACCAGCCAGCATCTTATGGGCACTGAAGAAGGCGACGCTGACACGCTACTCCTCGAAACTGTCATTACTGGCAATGTCGACACATTGAAAGAGCTCCTAACCAAGATGCAGTCGGCATCCAGTACGGAGGGTGATAACCTGTTGATGGACCGCGTGACGCGCACGTTCCTTGCCGCTATTCATGAGGCACCTCGAGTTTCGCTCCAAATACTGCTGGATACTGGCGTCGTCGATTTAAATTCATACGACGACATCAACGAGCGCAACTGCCTCCACCAGGCCACCATATACGGCAAAGAATACGTGCTTGAATGGGGCTTGAAGGCGGGTGTACCTGTGGACCGGACCGATGTATATGGCCGTGTTCCTGCCCACTATGCTAGCTTGCATGGGCGACTTCGCATGTTGGAAGCTCTTCTTAATGGTAAGCGGCGCATTGAATCCAACACCAATAACGCTAACAGGACGCAGCAAACATCAATACGATTGATCTGATTGACCACGACAACTTCACCCCTCTTATCCATTCCATTATTCACGGCCACCTTGAGTGCGTCAAGCTGTTGCTTGCCAAGTCTGCTCGCATCGACCCTGTTTCCGACGCCGACCACGTTCCCTTGAACCTGGCCTGTGAGCATGGCTCCGGCCCTGTTGTTGAGCTGCTTCTTCAACATGGAGCGAAAATCCTCCCGGATGCGGAAGGGCTGTATCCCCAGCATCTGGTTGCCCGTTCTGGGCAGTCACCCGATCTCTTGCTGCTGCTCAAGCAATTTGGGGCAGACCTAGATCAAATCGACAAGCTCTATGGATGGACTCCTCTCGTACATGCCGCCAGCGAAGGTAGCGTTGAGTGCCTACAGGCGCTTCTCAAAATCGGTGCGGATGCTAGCATTGTGGACGAGAAAGATCTCCCGGCCATGTACTATGCGGCTTGGGAGGGCCACCTGGCGTGTATGAAACTGCTTACGCCATTCAACAACCGACCTCGAGCTAGTCCGTTGGTTGCACAACCATCCCTAGGGTCCATGGGCAGCAGTAGTGCTCCCCAACCCATGGCACTGGACCCGGATGCTATTCCTATCCTGGAGTTGCCGCCCCCGATAATTCCGTTGCGACGATACGGACACAACTTTCTTGACACAAAGAATGTTGTTCAAATCAGCTTTGAAGACGCCAGTGAACAGCCTCTTGTCTTCTTCCAAGATGGGAAATACCCCGCCGCTCGACTAACTATTTCCTCCAAAAACTCCGAACTCATCCCCAAGAACATTATCTTGCCTATCCAGGAAGACACCCGTATTGTTTCTTTCCAGGTTGACAACCTCGACACTTTCTCTCTTGACTTTGACGTCTTCCCTACATATGGAGCCAAAATCATTGCAAAGACAGTCGCGCTGCCCAGTACATTCAAGAACCCACAAGGCAACACAGCCTGCTGCCTACCACTCTTTGACCCACGTCTTCGTGCGATTGGCCAGATAAGCTTCAACACGCAGGTCATCAAGCCATTCAAGGGACAGCCTTTGGAAATTACTGATTTCGAGACGTACTGGAAAGCCACCAGCCAGTTCAACCAACCGACTAACGCTGTTGTCACTGGCTCAAGCCTCTCTGGTGACTATGTTCGGCTTTTTGTGCAGTACACGAGTGATGGTATCCCGGTGATTTGGCCACAGTGGACTATTGACTGTGGCTGCCTTGATATTCCCGTCTGCCGCTTGACGCTGGCGCAGTTCAAGACCATTACAGCGCGAAGTGCTAGTCATTCTGACTTGCTCTCCTTACCCGACAAGCAGAGTGAGAATATTGCCGAAATTTACCACGTGCTGGCAACAGCTGGCGTCACGCTCAAGGAAGCGCTTGTCGTCCTGCCGCAGAGCGTCCACGCCAACCTCCAGATTCTCTACCCGACAGCCGACGACGAAAATGCCCTTGCATTAGGTCCTGCCCTCGAGGTCAACGAATACGTGGATGCCATCCTGACTGTCGTGTTTGATCACGCACGAGCCCAGCGTGCACAGTCACACTCATCGCAGGTTGTGCGCTCCATTGTCTTCAGCAGTTACAATGCTAGCCTTTGCACGACACTCAACTGGAAGCAGCCCAATTTTCCCGTTTTCTTGTGCAATGACCTTGGCCGAGAGGAGGTCGAGTCGCCATCAACCGTGGCAAATGTACAGGGAAGGCGCAGTACATCGATAAAGGAAGCGGTCCGAATTGCCCAGAGTAACAACTTTATGGGCCTCATATGCTACTCACGACTTTTGGTATGTCAACCCTCAACAAAAAATAAGTATTTCCACTGACAAAGATATCTCACGCAGGACTCGGTCCCCGCCCTCGTGGATGCCGTCAAGTCGCACGGTCTGGCGCTTGTCATGGATAAGTCTACCGACTCGCCCAACACGAGCCCGCTGACGGATCCTTTCCCGCGACCACCCAAGGGCGTCGACGGTGTTTTGAAGAACCATGGCATATTACGGTTTACGGATTCGATAGATATGTAATCCTCGCCGCTGGACACTTTCCTTCCTTTGTTTACGTCTCTTTTGTGCAGGATGGATGGTGGGGTTACTTATTTCCAAGTTTAATGACGGCAATTGCCAGTAAAAAGCGAGATAGCTAAACAAACGCAATGAATAGAAGGCGACGCATACCCCAAGGCGTTTTGCGCCAGTGAATGGGAACACAGATAAAATATAGCATGCTTTAAGAATATATTGATTTTATGCTCATTATACATTATGTCATCCTGCGTCTGTCTGTTTAGGCCCCTTTGTAGTCGTATCGCAGCACAGATAGCTCCTTTTCCGGATCGACATCGGCCATGACCATCTTGGCCAGCAACACGACAGCATACACACCCGCGGGCAAGTTGCACATGACAGGCCACGCCAGCGCGCCGCTCACGTCCTTTCCCGGCCGTGTGGTCGAACTACGACCGGCCGCGTCGTCGAAGCGGCTCGCCTTGTACGCGACGGCGGCGCCCCAAAACGCGAGCAGCACGGCCAGGAGCGCGTTGAGGTACGGCAGGGTCTGGTCCAAGGGCCCGCGCGCGCCGGCGGCACCACCCGTGCCCGTCCAGGCATCCAGCGGGTACAGACCCGTGACGGCGGGGGGAAGTCGGCGCAGCAGGTATGCGGTGGCGGCGAGCGACGACAGCGCGAGGCAGGCGGGCAGCGAGGGCAGCGCGGGGAGGTATGGGATGGCGGCGAGGAGCGGGAGGAGGAGCAGGATGCGGGCCATGAGGGTGTTTTGGGCGCGGTTGCGGTCGGTGAGCCTCTGGATGTAGGATTCTTGCTCTAAAGGAGGTGTGCGTGTGCGTGTTAGTGAGAGGGGATGGGGTAGCGGACGGAGAGAGGCGGTCACCTTGCTCATCCATGGCGGAGGGGGAGGAGTCGGAGTCGGAGTCGGCGGCGCCATCGTCGCTGGGATAGTGAAAGGTGCGCCGGAGACGGGCGGCGGTGCTACGTGTCGCCATGATTAAATGGGATGGTGAGGCGTGGTGGGAAGTGAAAGTTGGGTATTGATGGGAGCGGGAGGGTGAGAGGTGGCTTTGGGCTCGCGGTTGTTGGCTTATTGTGGGGAGCTGCGATCTGTTGGCCACCACCAGCCAGCAACTTGCAAGTACAACACAATAACGCAAAATATGAGGAACATGTGTGATTGATGTAGAATCATTGAATTGATAGAAAGATATGCACACTATCTCGGTACGGGAAGCTGGCATTTGCAGCTAGTTACCTGGTCTGCGACTGAAAATCTCAAGTCAAGATGCGGGGAAATAGCAAAATTATCCTGGAAGGTTCGACACGAAAGAAGGTTCGATATGGAAGTATAAAAAAAGAAGATTTACGTCAAGAGAAGCTACATGTACTTATTCATTATCATTGACTTCCCTCAATCCGCCGACAAAACACATCTTGTAAACTCAAAAAAGGCTTCGAGTACCGAACCATATACCGAGTCGTCTCATCTACTTTTTAGTTGAAAAATTTGGGAAACTGAAAACTGAACCTACGTGTACTTCCGCAACCTTCAGTTATCCCCAAATCCAGCTTTTCAGTGGCAGGCTAATGCGTCCGAGATGTCGAGGTCGTTAGTCGTGGTCGCCTGGACAGGAAGCGAGCGCGCGATTCCCTGACGCCAAGGGAGCGATGCTATCTTGTCAAACTCACTGCACTGTGATGGATTACTGAGGTAAGCACAGTGACTGATGAAGGAGACATGGAATCGACAAGACTATCACTGAAGCGAGTGGCGACTTGCCTCGGTGCACAATGGAAAGTTTAACATAACGACGTGCCAACTCTCGTGTAAGTTTTCGGCACGGCTCTTTTGCAAACTCTACGCGTGTGAAAAGTGTAATAAAAGCACACTGCAGAAGTTATATAAATCCATGCCGCCGCCCTGTCTACTGCTGCTTGTGCAGAGGTCGATTTCTACTCAAGTTCGTCTCAAACACAGAAGCAAGATACAAGATACAACACCACACCTACTCTAAGACAAACTCAACTTCGTCTCAAACACAGCAACAAGATACAAGATACAACACCACACCCACCTACTCACTCAACTTCGTCTCAAACACAACAAGATACAACACCACACCTACTCTAAGACAAACCCAAGTTCGTCTCAAATACAGAAACAAGATACAACAACACGCCTACTCTAAGACAAACTCAATCCCAAAGATGTCTTTCCAACAATCACACAATGGCCAGGCCATCTTCTCAAACCCATTTGTGGTGACCGAAATGTACAGGGTCGCCATACCTCGGCGCAACAAGCCAGAGCCTGTACTCGAACTGAACAACATCTGGCCGTCCACCACCCTGCACGCCTCCCGCAAGAAGCCCATTGACGCCTTTGTATTTAGCCTTCTCGCGCGGGCCGGCATCCTCAACAGCCCAGACCAAGTCGTCTCGCTGTCAGACGTGGCCCGGCACCCGGACAAGACGGCCTGGGGCCTCGTCTCATACTTCCAACACTATGAGCACACCCACGCAAAGACAACTTTTCCCAACACTGAGAACGCAGACGACGGCCCGGAAGACACGCTGCTCATCGTGTCGCCGTGGGACCCAGACTCGGCCGCGTCGTGGCCGCTGGCCGCGCTCTGGATCCAGACCCGGCTGGACGCCTTCCTCGACAACGGGCACCGCATCCGCGTCGAGATGCAGGCGCCGGATCTCTTCCTTGACAACCTCATCGTGCGGCCCCTGGCCGCACGATGCGTGGGCCGCCCCCGGCTGCAGCGCGACTGGAGGACGGCGATCCGCGCCATCATCGGGCAGCAGGAATCGACGGCGCTCGCGGAGCTGGGGCTGCGCATGCACTACATGGCGGCAGATTGCGCAAACTTGGACGTCTTCACGCCCACCGTCTGCATCCTCATCCACGACAAAAACCCGGACGTTGCAGGATGGACGCTGGCGAGGGAAAGAATCAAGGAGTACTTGGCGGTCACGAGTCCTGGCATGGGCTTGATGATACACGGGTGCGGCCATTGTGAGCACGACGAATTGGAGCCCTTGTAGTATTTGGGTTTCTTGTCTTGTCGGACTTTTGCTCTTTGCCAGGTCCAGATCGTGGAAGTATGGGCATCTCCTCATTTGCATTGTCAACTTTGACAACGCCATCGTGCAAAACTCAAATTGTTGAAATATATATTATTCACAATACACCTCATCAATATTCATCTGTTTTCATTCTTACGTGATTAGCTGTGCCTTTCTACCACATGTTTAGAACCCTGCGCCAGTGCAAGTGACGTCAATAAAACTTTTCGCACTGTCAACGTAATAGCGGCGTGTGAGAAATTATGTGAACGGCAAGATGCCGATTTTTTTGCAAGTTCATCCGGTTGACAGCAGTAGGCTGTTGGTCACAGTCACAGTCACAGGTGTTCGTGCCAGACTCATTTATGTGATTGCTGACTTCATTCAAGTTCCCATCGTCTCTTCGTGCTGAGAAGACCTGTAAAAAAATCGCATTCAAGTGAATAAAACTGTAATCAATTGCAGAGAAAGTCGTCGCAAATCAGCACAAATTTCATCGACTAAAGAGAGCGGGATTTTGTTTCAACTTGGAAAATAGAAAATAGTCATCTCTACCATGTAGAAGAAGGGGGCTTTGGTGGCGGTGTCTGGGATGGTGATGGTGGCGGCGCCTTGCTCGTGCTGAAGGGTTCATATAATTCCCCACGATTTGGTTATATTCTTATTGGTTACAGTCTACATGTTAGGCGTCCTCGTCCCTGTATGTAAGCAATGTGCTGTCGACATACCGACATTGAAAAGTGTTGGTTGTCAAAGTGTGACTGCGACACTTACAGCGACCGGGAATTAGCCACATGACTATTATTCTGATTTTGTCCTTTTCTTTCTTGGCATGCTTTCTAGGCGCATCGAGAAACGTCGTACGGGCGTGCGTGCCGGCATCTACATTCCAGTTGTCGTCATTGGGGCGTCCATTTAACCTGGCGCGCTCCATCTTTCCAACCAACAAAGGCTACCAAGTCTTTGAACCTATTTATCCCATCGCTTGGCTGGTACTGCCTTTTAGTTATAGGTTATAGCTCAAGACCTGGGTGACGCCGTGTCTGCCTTGTGGTGCGTCTGGCCCTTGCATTGGCACCGCATGCAGGGTGGAATTGGATCTTGGGCTTGGAGCTGGAGGGGGGCGTCTGATACAATGATGGCTAGAAACTAACTACCTCTAGGTACGCCGGAAAGGTCGGTCTGGCGCATGGAACAGGGCTACGGCCGGCACGTCCCGTTCATTTCGGCAGGCGGTGGTGCGACCGGGGGTTGGCGTCAAGAACGAGGGGTCGAGGAGCGATGGGATGGAAGCAGAGAAGAAGTGAGAATACGGCCGGAATACGGAGTAGAATGTGCAATAATCGCCAGTTTGAAGATGATGTACTATTTTTAAACCTGATTTTGGACGAATTTGCTGGATTTTGGTTGGTTGGTGTGATGACTATCCGTAGCAAGTAGTTACGCCAATTTAGGTACGAATGCGGCTGTGCTGGGGGCTCAGCAAGGTGGATTGAATGTACAGCTACATTTCTCCAGGTTCGATGGTCAGGTACCTACCAGGTCTATTCGTACAGATTCACCACATTCGTCACATCTTCAGTTGCAACGAGAAACTCTCGGTGAGTTTTTGACTCTTAAGAATGTGGAATAAATAGGGATGTGCCTGGTTCAAGGTCTTGAATTCATCACCGGCGTGTCCTGGGTCCTGGGTCCCTGGTCTCAGGTCCGACCACTTTCAGCCTTTCAGCAGGTACCGGTACCAGCGACGGTGGCTTGCGCTAACCCTCGTGTTTGTGGCGTCGACCAACCAGCATCAGGGGAGACTATGCCACCAGCTGAAGACGATGCAAAAGACAAAGAGGCCGATATTCGTCATGTGCAACTTTGTATCGCGGCTGAATGACCCTTTTAAACTAGCAGTAGATTATTAACGGACGAAGAAAGTCAAAAAGATGTCAGGTTCGGGACGGGGTTGGACGTACTCTGTACTGTTATTAATACAGGTAGGTAATAATGCACCGAGACAATAGCGTCCAACCGAGACCCGCCTTGTCGAGTGTACCTGTCTGTTCTCGGGCCATTACACGTCCAAACGTCGAGCCAACAAGACAATAGATTGGCCGAATGCAGTTAACCAATGCAGCAGACAGATGCAGTCTAAATGAATGAATGCACCTGCACAAGTTCCTTGCGTGCGTGCGACCGTCCATCCCCACCCCCCATCATTCTTCCTTGGTCGGTCCCAGTTCCCAGCGTCTTACCTACCTGTAGTTAGCGCCCGCTGCCAATCCACCCCACTGGCGCGCCTCTGTAAGCACCAGAAAAGCCTTTTTCGTCTCTTCCCCCCCAATTCGCACCATCATCTTCTTCTTCCTACTCCGAACCAAAACCCTCGCCGTCTCCCAATCCCATTCAACAATCGGTTTGCATCCGAAAACACGCAACGAATATACCCGCCCGCGAGGGACCACCCCTCTGCCATCGACCTCTCCCGACGACACCCACCCGCCTGTGCAGGTAAGGACCGCTACAGCGACACTGCTTGCCCTCGTGTGTTTTGATTTTGAATCCTGGTCTTATTCCCGCTTCGTCTGCCCGCGACCGGCTTCGGGACGCCGGGGACGATGTGCAATCTTGGAACAATGGCAGCGACTTTCGAGTGAATACCTGTCATGATCGGACTCCTGACGTTTCCGCCTCCCCCGACGGCGCTCTGCTGCCTCGACACGGCAGCTTGTGCGCCGCTCCACCGCTGCGGCTGTCCGCGTCCCAGATTTTGTCATTGCACCACTGCCAATTTCTCCCGACCATTTTCTTTATTTCTACACATCTATATCCCCTTGAACAGCCGCTAACCCCCTATGCGTCTCACAGGCTCACCACCCCCCTTCGACGCTCAAAATGGCTCCCGCCGATCACGCCCTCGATGTCCGCAAAGCCATCGCCATCGCCATAAGGCAGGCCACCGGCGGCACTGGAGCGGCCGCCTCTGGTGAGAGCTCGTCTCAGACGCCCGGCAGCACGCCCGGCAGTGCCCAGAACAGCAGCAGCCAAGCTACCACCCCGCCGGCAGCCTCCTCCACGCCCAGCGCCGCGCCACCTGCCTCGTCCCAGCCGCCGCCGTCGAGCAGCAGCGCTCCCCCGCCGTCGAGCTCTGCGCCTCCCCCCTCGTCTTCATCGGCGCCGCCTCCTGCTTCGTCTACGCCGGCGCCGTCGCCGTCGCCCACCCCGAGCCAGACTCCGAGCCCGTCCGCGTCCGTTCCAACCACGACCGCCATCGTCACCAGCACAGTACACACGTCGGCTCCTGTCGAAACCACGACGATCGAGACCAGCCTCCCCCCAGCCGAGACGTCGACCGTCATCGTCACCTCCACCACCACCGCCAAGGTGTCCCCGACGTCCACCACCTCCTCCACCCACACCCCGACGCCTGTCTCCGGTGGCAGCGGCGGCGGCGGCGGTCTCAGCTCCTCGGGCAAGGTCGCCGTCGGCGTCGTCGTGCCCATTGCCGCCATTGCCATTCTCGCCGTCATTGCCCTATTCTGGTGGCGCAAGCGCAAGGCCCGTCTCGAGTCAGAGGAGGAGCGCCGCAAGGAAGTCGAGGACTACTCGTACAACCCCAACGCCGACCCGACCATTCCCGCCGTCGGCCTCGTCGGCGGCGCTGCTGCTGGCGGCGCTGACAATGGCTACGAGATGCGAGAGGACGCCTCGGGTGGCTACCGCGGCTGGGGCTCGACCACGGCGGGCGGTTCCGTCGGCCGCAAGGCTTCCACCACACTCTCCAACCCAGCTGCCTTTTCCGACGCCACCACGGCCCGCGGGCCCCTCGACGGCCAGCACGACGGCACCTCGTCCCAGGAGGGCGAGATTCTCGGCGCCATGGGCCCCTCGGCCGCCAACAACCGTGCCGACGTTCGTCGCGGGCCCTCCAACGCGTCCTCGTCGTACAGCGCCACCGGCCGTTCCGAGGGCTCCGACGGCGGCCTCTACGGCGGCGGGCCAGCCGCCTACTACGACCAGTACAGCCAGGGCGCCTACGGCGACGGTGGCGCCGTCATTCGCGATAATCCCGCTCGACGCAACACCCAAATCGAAAACACGTCCCACTTCCCTCAGCAGAGCGCAGGCATTGCCCAAAATTTCTAAAGACGTTGTTTTTTTCCTTGGAGTTGCCACGATTTCTTTACCTCTGTACACTTAGTAGGGAGCGCTACGTGCGTCGCTCGATTATTCCACGTCGGCCTTTTTTTTTTTTTTTTTTTTTTGCATTATTCACTCGATGCCGCAGACGACGGGGGCTTTTTACAGCCCCTTGCAACGCAGTTACTAGACGGCAAACTCAGCGACTTCCTTTTTTTTTTCGAACCACTTTTGACAAGGCACTCCTTTATATTCGAAGAAGGACGGTGCATCTCCTACGGGACTGTACATATGGTGCTACAGGAGAAATCATGGCATCTTGTCCCGACGACGAACCCGTCTCGATTCAGTTCCTGCTTGTGTTACCAAAAATGCGTTTTTGAGCTCTTTTACGGCCATTGAGTATACTTGTGGCCAGAAAAACACACATTCCTTCTTTTTTTTTATCCCAACCTACGTCCGAGGGCATAATCGGCAAGCACCCGGCGGACAATACCAACTTGTTCTTTGAATATGTCCCAATTGAGGAACATTCAGCCTTCAATCTTGTCTATTTTTTTTTATATCTGTTTTTGGTTCTGCTTGATCTAATCAATTGGCTGATTTTCGACTTTTTTTTATTATTCGTTTTTTATATATGCTTGGGGAGGTTGGTTTTGTTGGATGAAAAACGATGGGAAGCCGCGGATGAATAAAGTGTGTGGTTTAAAGTAGTATAGTAATGGTTAGCTTAACAAAGTAGTACACACTGAAAAAAAAAAACATTAAATTATTTTTCAATATTTCAAGCTGGTGCAACCAACGCAATGACAAACTTGGTCGGATGTGTTTGATTGGTAGCGCAAAGTGACGGCGACGCAACACAACGTTACACAGCATCGGATCAACTAGATTGGGAACACGGTGCCTGAAATATTGATATTGCTCGTGACACTATGTGTGCGATGGAGAAATTAGGCCATGTCTGTTGCTTGCCAAACCATGTCACACGACAGGAAAACGAAACCCTGGAATTGACATCTAGTCATTCCACGACCGCCTGCAGCACGACGTGTACCGAAGGAAGAGATTTGTTGTTTTCTTGGCATCTTTCTAGAGCTGTAATCAGGCGAGATGCCAACCAACCCTCGCTGAGAAGCAAGCATATATGTTGCCAAGATAGTGATTCTAGTGGCACTGACAGAGCTAAGGTTGAGATGAGTCTTGTTGACTGGTGGCTCCACCCGAACATGAGGCGTGTCTCGTATCTCGCTATCTGAACACATTGTCTCACACAATCATTTCCAGCAAATCTAATCAATCTGTATTCATTCAACCAATAGACTAAAGATGCTAATGGAACATTGTGCTACGCAAGATATCCGACACTCGAAACGCCAAAGAATGAGTATCAACTCCATCACCCAAGAAAATACAACGTGTTCATCATCACACTCAAGCCACCACTTGGCTACCAGCCGCGCCACGTCGCTGTGCCTCCTTCTGTGCTAGCTCCTGGCGTCGTTTCTTCTCTGCCCATTCGCGGCTCGCGGCTCTAGAGCGTTCAGCAGCTTGATCCCTGGCAGACTTGACTCCGGCATCTTGGGCAGGCTGGGTTCTCGGTCTCGGCGCGCTGATATCGCTTACAGTACTCTGGCGTCGCGCCGTCTTTTGAGCCGCACTCAACGATGAGGTAGGTCTCTGGCCCGCAGTTGGGGCGCTAGTCTTTCTGACGGTGCCTGACGTCGCTGATACCAGTCCACTTGGCACGACTGAGAGTCTCTTGCTTCGCATCGTAGCAGCGGCCGCGGCCGCGGCCGCCTTGGCCTTAGCCTCCTCCTCTTGCAACAACTTGGCCTGTCGTGCGCGGCTTGCAATGGTCTCGCGAGGAACTACACCCGGCGCAGCGCTATTGCGAAAAGGGCGGGCCTTGAATTCTCGCTTCCTTCGCAATTCTTCTTCTTCAGCCCGCACCTTCGCCTCATGTAGCTCCCTCTTTCTGCGTGAAATGGCCTCGCCAGGCAGTTCAAAGGAAGCCTTGGTCACGGTTCGCGGCTTAGCAGGGGCCGCAATGACTTTTTGGCTCTTTTCGGATGCCGCCTGGCGTGCTTCACGCTGCTCCCTCAGGCGACGACCGACAGCCTCGCCAGGCAGCTCAAACTTGGGAACCGTCGGCGGTTTCGTAGACTTGGCTGTCGGTGATCTGGATGGGGTCGATGCTACCGAGCGCCGAGTACTACCACTGGCTGGACTATCGGCCTTTTTGGTAGAAGGCGTTGCCGGTTGGCGGTTCTTCTGGCGCAGAGTCATGGAAGCAGATCGTCGCAACGACTTTTCACTCGTCTTGCTGTTGAGGCTCATGACAGAGATGCGCTGCGTAAGAGATTGGATCGAAGGTGAGCCGCCAGCAGATTTGGCGGCAGGTGACCTGCCCGCGTCGTTGCCGGGGGCTGTAGTCTTGACCTTTGCTAGGGCACCAACGGCCTCGAGCTGCTCCTCGAGCCTGTCAAGCTCCTCGAGCGAGTCTTCAATGCGCGATACAGAAAAGGAGCCAGTTCTAGTGCTCCCTGCAAAACTTTCACTGGGGTCTGAGACGCCTGAGAGGGCTGGGGAAAGCGCATTCTCAACCATGTCTACTACTTCGGGCACCTTGATATAAGGTGGCGGCGGATGTTGCTGATCCCAAGACATGGTGCTAGAAGTTGAGTGGTTACCAGTGATTGGTGTTGCTAAAACGGTAACTCTGTTAGTTTGTTGCTGATGGGCGGATGGCCGCTGGGTAGGTCCTGATTTCGATGCGCAGTGCAGCAAGTTGCAGCCGAAAAGCATAGCCGCGTTGGATTCACCATCATCACCATGAAACCGTGGCTGATGCGGGTCGGCTGAGCTCGCCTCTGCTGGACATGAAATCAGCCATTTAAACTGACCTGCAAGATGCTTCTGAACTTGTTCTCGCAGAGTGGGTTCAGGCGCAGTTTCAGTGGAAGCCTGGGTGCTGGTGGTATTTTTCGCTGGGACCAGTCAGTCAATGAAACAAGAAGGGCGCAACAGGCCGTCAACAATAGTTACCTTCTGTTTTTTGCTGCACAAACGCCGTGTCGCTGTTCTCGTCGAGAGCGGCAAGAGGCTCAAAGGTGTGTGCGCTCAGTGCAGGCCGCTGGAGACGTGGAACGTGTTGGTCAACCTGAGATTTGAGAAACTTGGAGTCGGCGTCGTTCCTGACAAGGGAGATATTTTGGTTATTAGGAATGACGAGTTCCCCGAGGGCGCGAGAGACTGAGTTGGCGTCCTTGTCAGCGGGAGGGTATAAGTGCACCTTGGCAGAAGCGTCCTCCAGGACGCCAAAGGCTGTCTTGCGGGTATGGCTGGTGCGGGTGCTTCCAGGAAAAGCCGGGGCCATTCTGGTCCGGAACTGGGGAGCAAGAAGCTGTAACAGTCAGGGGTACAATGTGGCTTCCAACGGAGCCCCGATGGTCCTTGTGGTAATTTCGCGGATCGGCAAGGGAGGTAGCGCAGTTTATGCTGGGCCTGGAGGCTGTCTGTCGTTGGATGGACAGGACGAACAGGGGGGCTGTTGGCCTGGAGCGACGAGGTAGTTAAAAAAGCGGCGAAGCAAATAAGGGACTGAGCAATAGAATAGAATGCGAAAGACGATGCAGTGTATGTTTGCGTGCGAGATAAACAGTGAATGCAGGGAGAGCGCAGGCAATGTTGTGATTTATTTATTGGTGGCGCTCGCTGTTTGTTTTTGGCATCTGCCGGTTTCTATTTACATGGAGCAACGGCGCCAGCGCGCAACTAACTAGCAGCTCCTTCTCCTTCTCCTTCTCCATTCTGCCGATGCAGCCAGAAGCTTACCTGCAGCCTGCAGGTCCCCCTCGTAGGTCCCATAATACCAGTAAACCCGCATCGCTTATTATTATGACGAATGGAAGCCAGAACCCCTTGAGTTCGGGGGTTTATCGTTTGATAAGGCGGTGGCTGATGGAGTGACAACGCCGGGGTCCGTGATGCATGCAATTGGCCGCGCACACCGTATTAGTTACTGGCTCCTGTCAAGACCCTGCAACCCGGGGCGTAGATCATCGCTCACTCATTCGTACAGAGTACTTTGTACCTAAATCATAAAATCCCTCTACATAAAAAAGTTGACTGCGGCGGCTGGGAGAAGCCGGCTCTGACGTGAAGCAACGCGTGGCGTGCCTAGACGCGTTCTTTGGCTAGCAAACAGCCCCGCCAAGATGGCTAAATTGCCATTTATGCACAGCCAAAGGAACCGACACTGTTTCTTGGGCCCATACATACATAGCTGTCGGCGTCGCCGTATGCACATATAAAATGATCATGTGGCATTAGTTGTTGCTCGTAAAGGTTGCCCGTGGCTGTCGAGTTGGGTTCGGTGTCTGACGGTGTCTGATCTACCCTCGGCACTTCTCGCAGATAGATCATTGCGGGCTCGTCATGGATACGTCCTCCGCTGCAGCTTCTATATTTTCCGTCTGAGCATGCAACGTTGGCGCGTGTTCTGTTGGAATTCGTACGAGCGTCTCTGGGAGCGGTCCGCCTTGTTCAGCTTCATCATTTTCGGTAGCGGTTGAAGGTGCTTGCTTTGCGAGTTTTGCTGCATTCATTCGTTAGCCATTGGGATTCCAGGGCCAACGCCCAGCTTACTTGATGCCATATTGATGGCACCCAGCACGTTGTGCCAGTTACCAATCACCGCTGCGATAGCTGCCCAAGGTTAGCAGAGTCTTGCAAGTACGCGGAAACACGACTCACCGTCTGTTCCATCTGCCAAAGTAGATAGCTTCTGCTCCAACGCCTCCATCTGGGACGCCACCGCACCGCTGAGCTCCTTGAGCTCCTTCAGATGCTCCAGCTCGGCGCGTTTCTCCTCAATTCGAGCAGAGAGAGCAGACTGCTGGCCAGAGGCAGCACCGATGCCACTTTGGGCGCGCATATGGGTAGATAAAGAACGCGTCGGATACGACATGGTGGTATCTGATAACCGCACGAAGATGGAAGACTTGCGCGGCTTGAGTTCCCTTTGAGATTCTCGCATAAATCTTTAATTGATTTTTGCTCAACGCGCCTCCAGCGAGCTTCAGCGGGTTTGGCGCTAGATAGGAACACAGGTAGCTCAGCGCAGCTCCTGTGGTGGGAAGGGTACCTAGGTACTAACACGTGCCAATCCCATCCACCCGTTGCCCGGACAACCCGTGGTGAATGCCGGACCCACCTAGTGCCAAATGGTCAACAGGCCACCTTCCCATACTCCGTTTCGCACACGGCATCTTCGACCCGCCAACATTCTGCAGAACGTTTACTCCTGCTCGACCGCACGCGACGAAAACTTCGAAATTGGTATCAGCCTTCCAAGATTCTGAATTATACGATCCAACACTATATTTCACGGCCGCCTAGTCACTGTGTCATGCAAGATGGCCAGATTAAACGAGCCAGTGCTGTCAACAGCAGAAAGCATCGAAATCCGTGCGCCCCCTCAGTTAACTTCATACGACCGCCATGATGCTAACATGGGTATCAGTTCGAAAGAAAATGCTTCGTCAAAATAGAGAACTCGCCAAAACCAACAACATCCGAGCTCTTAACATTCGAGACCTCGAAAACGAGGTGGATCGTGCCCTCTCAGAGAATCTCAAACTTCGTGCCCGCATCGCTGAGCTCGAGAAACAAGCTCAGGCCCACGAATCTCGTCAATCAAATTCCATGAACATCAGAAAGGCACTTGAAAGTCAGCTGGCAGAGTGGTGCACGCTGCTCGGTGGTCTGGGAGGCATGGACCCCCCTGCGAAGAAGCACTCGCCTGCCGTTGAAAGTGTCACCGATAGCAGAAGGAGCTACCTAAATACCCGCAGGAGCCCTTCACAACGGCGTCTGCACAACATTGCAAACGATGTCGAAAAACTTGGCCACATTCCCGAGCACCAACACTCACGCAAGCCCCTAAGGTAAGTACTGCCCCCTTAGCATCGTTGTACACTTGCTTACGTGTGCAGTTCTGAAGAAATCGAAGCACTCATATGCAGATCAGACGACGAGGAGGACTACGAAGAGGCTACAGAGCAGGCTCCCCCCACCCGTGTCGTATGCCAGGAGCCAGCCAAGTCTGACACGCCACCACGCGAGGCTAGAGCACGTAACTTCTCAAGTAGCCTCGATTCTTCGCCCCTCATCGTTCCATCGCCAAATTTCGATAATCTCCGTATCGGCTCAGTACTACCCACGAGCAGCACGACTCCGATGATAAGAGAAAGCCGGGCTCGTGTTGATGCCACCCCCGACACCCCAATCGCGCTTCCCATTAAGGCTGGGGCGAAGCGCAAGTTCAACAGAGACGAATATCAACCCATGGCACTGGAGAAGATCACAGACGAGAACATGCCCCCAGGAGCTCAAGCCAAGGGTCTCGCCTTATTTGAAGAGACAGGTGGAAAGACTGTCAAGGAGCTCGCCGCTATCAGGCGCGAACATACGCGCTCGCAAGCCGACGTCACAGGATATACCCCGAGAATGCCACTAGCAACGAAGAGCACAAACGATGACGTTCAATCGCCCAAGAAGCGTAGAACAACACCGACAGTCGACATTGCCCCTCCAAAGCCGACAAGACAGCCCGCAATAGAGTCGTTTAACCACTTTGCTAAGACCAAGGCCGAGAGAAATCGCGCCCAGGAAGCCGAGCGGATCAGGGCCTCGACAGAAGCCGACATATTGGCCGCAGGTATGGAGACTAACGGTAAGGAGACTTCTTCGTGCTCCGAAGCCGTAGTGCCATCTTGCTCACCTGAACCAGGCGTTAGGGAAAACGCCAAGGACACTCCACCTCCCACCGACACTATTTGTCTGGAGGAGACGACCAGACCAAGCCGCAGAAGCAGAGCGGCCATTAGCTACACCGAGCCTAACTTGAAGGATAAGATGAGGCGGCCAAGAAACGAAACGTTTGACGCGGTCTCTGGCGAGGGCAAAAGTAGACGCTTCAGTCACTCTGAACCAGCTACGATCGACATCAAGAGAGAGTCCGGCGGCTCAGATTCTTGGAGAGGGGTTGTCCCTGCCTCTCAACTGCGTGTCTCTGAAGTATCCGCGGAGAGCGCACCGGTTAGCCCTCGCTTGCGCCACTCGTCGTTACCGCATGAGCTACCATCAGCGTATGCTGGCCGTCAAGAACGGATGCTGCAAGCTTCAGGCATGGATTGTGAGGCGGCCGCACCCTTACGCCACTCGTCTTTGCCAGAGGAGCTGCCATCAGTGTATGCTGACCGTCAAGAGCGGATGATGCAAGCAGCTGGCATGAATTGCAGGGCGACCAGACCCTTACGCCACTCGCCTGTTCTAAATGAGCCGGCATCAGTGTGGGCTGACCGTCAACAGCGGTTGCTACAAGCTGCTGGCATGGAGAGTGCACAAGTTAGCCCTAGGCTACGCGACTCGTCTTTGCCGCATGAGCTGCCCTCTACGGTTCAGGCTGACCGTCAACTGCGGAGCTCGCACCTGGAAGCTGCCCCTGCCCGCGAGGAGAGCGCGCCGGTTAGCCCTCGGTTACGCCACTCGTCTTTGCCGCGTGAGCTGCCAGCTACAGTACAGGCTGACCGTCAACTGCGGAGCTCGCGACTGCAAGCTGCCCCTGTCCGCGAGGAGAGTGACGTTTATGAGTTTACTAGCTCGTCACCGTATACGGACGGAAGTTCCGGACATTCGGTGACCACGAGGAGCGGACGCAGGATAACTGCGACGCGGAGATTCTCCACAACCGACGATGAGGACAACAGCATTGATACGAGATATGAACGCCTTATGACGCGACGACGGAGCATGATGGTATAGAGAATGTGAGCATGGTTTTGCTCTTAATATTTTATGACTTGCGTTTGGTTTCGGAAAATGCATGAAGCATACAGGCAGCATTCGGCGTTTTTTTTTTGGAACATGGCTCTTGTTTTTCTGATTTGGAGTCTTTCTGGGTGTGCTTCCTTAGAAAGCTTATTTTGTTTTTGTTGGTGATTAGATGCTCTTTTGGATTCACTTTCTTGGAAAGTTTGTTTGTTTTTTCTCATGGTTTGATGTTCTTCTAGATTGTTTACAAGAACGGCGCAGTTTGCAGAGCAGAGCAAAGACGCTCGTGTTTTATGCTAGAGATACCAAGACAGCAGCAGTTTGAAATGATGGTTATTTTAATTCTTTGATTCTTTGTAAACCTAGCTCGTGTTGTAGATATACCTCACGGGCTAGATATCTGGAGGAACCTCTCGGGTAGTAGACAGGTGAGGTGTCTCGTGTCAGCCAGCAATTTCCCGTCTTAATTCTAGGCATCTCATGGTATATATCGTTGCAATCTTGCAGCATTTGTTCCGCATGTGCTCGCACAGCGTTATCCTCGTGGGCTATATTCGGTCTCGCTTTGGTTGGCTATGACGCATTCCCTGTTTGCGGGACCGGCTTTGTATATGTGACCTTTTCCACCGCGACCGTCTCGTTTCCTTGCTCATCTGTTCTGAGCTGGTAGACATACAATGTAAGAGAAATTCCTTGGACCTAAGACGTCGTTAGCAAATAGTTTACCCCTTTACCACACTACCACAACCTGGGGAACACCTTACATCCATCAGGCAGAAGCTCGGGGTCGCGCCCTCACCGTCGTCACCCCAGCCGTTGAGGAACGCGCCGGTGGCGCTACCCGGGTTGACGAAGAACTTGTCCATGTACTCAAAGGCGTCAAACTTGTGGGTGCCCCCGTAGCAGAGGACGTCGACGTCGAGACGATTGGCCTCGGCGAGCAGCAGGTCGGGCTCGCTCGAGACGAGCGTGAAGCCCTCGAGGAAGCCGACGCGGATGCCGCCATGCGTGACGACTTGCGTCAGTGGAAGCGACGTGGCCTCGACGTCGTATCGGCCCTTGACAATCTTGAGGTCCGGGGCGATGGAGCGCAGGTACTCGTACGTGTTCTTGTCGGTCAGGTTGCCTAGGCACAGCGTCTGGCCAATCTTGCCGGGCGCGAGGAGCTTCTTGAACTGCGAAGGGGGAAGGGAAATCATTGTTAGTGTCGGTGACATGGCAGGCGGTATCCGGGCTTCTGTGAGAGCGCCGCGGCACGGCGACGCAGAGACAGGTCAAGCGTACCTTGGCGGGAAAGTCGAGAGCTCGGTCGGGGATGTGGATATCACCCAGGACGAGAATCAGGAAAGCCATAATGTCCTGTCCTCTCTTGGCAGCTAAGCTGCAGTATTCGGGCGACGCGGTAGTGTTCTGGAATTGGGAGAGAGGTTTGGTGACTTGTCGCCGGAGCTTCCCTTCAACGGTCTGAGGCTGGAGGGGCAGCTAGTGACGAGTTCATGGACAACAGAGAGTGGCTAGTGCTGTGGCTAATGGATACGGATACAGCGATAACTCGGCTAATGTACCTGCGTAGGAGAAAACCCCACAGCCGAAAAAAAGAGACAGACGGATCTTATCGCTGGCGGGGAGTCCCCGATAAGGAATTTTTCTTGGACGGCACTGACACCAAAATTTTGGGCCTGGATTGGGACTGCCTTCCACCAGACCAACTCGACTTGGATTGATCAACCATTATTCTCTGGACAAGATGGCGACCGTGGAGACCATGGCCACGCCGTCTTTGGCTGAGAAGCTCGACAAGATCAAGTCGCCCGGCCTACAGAGCCAGAAACGTGTAAGTCAACACTCCCATACCGCCTTTTTTCTTTTGGTGAGGCCCGACTGACCCATCTCGGCAGACTGTGGTTGTGCTCCATGCCGTCGAGTCGACTCTCAAGGAACAAAACACTGAACCCACCCCGACCGGATACTTTGCCGCCCTCCTCGCCCTCCTCCAAAACGCCAACAGCAGCGGCAGCGTCAACACCGAACTCGCCGGACCCGCCGTGTATCTCCTCGATGTGGTGACGCCGTACGCCCCGGACGCGCTGCTGCGCTCCAAATTCACGCCGATCCTGACGCTCCTCGCGCCGGTGCTGCTGCTGCCCGACGCGGAGCCGATCCTGCTGCGCACGTCGATTGGCTGCCTCGAATCGCTGCTGCTCGCGCAGGACGCGGCCTCGTGGGAGCTGTCGGCCGCGCAGGTGAGCCCGCGCCGCGCCGTGGCCGGCCTGCTCAACCTGGCGCTCGAGGCGCGCCCCAAGGTGCGCCGCCGCGCGCAGGACGCCCTCAAACGCGTGCTGCGCAACCCCCGCCAGCCCGGCGCTCGACCACCCGGCCGCCGACATGTGCGCCCAGACCGCGCTCAAGACCCTCGAGGCGCTCGCCGCGCAGGCGCTTGCCGCGCGCAAGGGGAAGAAGGCGCCGGGGGCGGCGACGAATGACCCGGAGCTGATCCACGCCCTGCATCTTATCAAGACGGTGGCGGCGGCGAGTGGTGGCTGGCCGAGCACAAAGATTGAGTCGCTCTGCGAGCTGCTCTTGAATATTGCCAAGACTGGCAACGAGTACATGACTATGGCGGTGTTTGAGATTTTTGAGCTGATTTTTGAGGGCATGAGCGAGGAGGTGTCATCGGCCAAGCTGCCGCGACTGATGGAAATCATCTCGGAGCTGCGACCGGCTGCCAACGACACCCAGCTGGTCCCGCCTTGGTTGGCCATCCTCTCGCGTGGATACGACGTCTCTGCCCAGGTTGAACCGGAAGACACTTTCCAGAACCTCCCGGATCTGTTCAACATGGTTGCGCAGTTCCTTGAGTCACAGTCCGAAAACATTCGCATATCTGCTTCGGAGTGCTTGATTTCCTTCATGGCCAACTGCATTCCTCAGCAAGTTATTATCGACCCCTCAATATACGACGAAAAGACTCTCGAAAAGATTGCCAAGACGGCCGAATCTCTCCTCACTGTCCAGTTCCAGGCCGCCTGGCTGCAGACCTTCAACGTCCTCGCCGCCATGTTCCTGTCTCTGCGCTGGCGAGCCAACCCGATCCTGCTGAGCGTGACCAAGACGATTGGCGAGATTCGCGAAAACTCGTCTTTCCGCAATAAGAAGGAGGCCGACGAGGTGATTGGACAGGCCGTCCGCGCCATGGGTCCCGAGGCTGTTCTCTTCGTGCTGCCGCTGAACCTTGTCAAGCCTGTCAAGGGCCAGGCCGGCCGCGCTTGGCTGCTGCCCATTCTCCGTGACTACACGAGCAACACCAATCTGGCCCATTTCAAGAGCGAATTGGTGCCCCTGAGCGAGGTCATGTTCCAGCGCGTGCTGGAGCATGGCGACGCCCCCAAGACAATGGAGATTAAGATTTACGAGACGCTCGTTCAGCAAGTGTGGTCCATCCTGCCCGGTTACTGTGACCTGCCTCTGGACCTGACCGAGGCGTTTGACCAAGGCTTTGCCGAACTGATTGCCAACATCCTCTACAAGCAGACGGAGCTGCGCCTCGACGTCTGTCGCGCCCTCAAGACGCTGATTGAGTCAAATCAGGCCCTCTCGACCGTTGCTGACGACGAGGACGACTTTCTGCTGCAAGCTCGCGTGAGCAAGGAGACAGCTGCCAAGAACCTCACCTACCTCGGCCAATTTTCCGGCAACATGCTCGCCGTGCTCTTCAATGTATACACCCAGACACTCCCCCAGACCCGGGGCCCCATCCTACAGACGGTCAACGCTTTCCTCAGCATCACACCCAAGCAGGAGCTCATGGACACCTTTGACCGCGTGAGCAAGATGCTCGCCACTGAGATTGAGACACTGGCGACGAACGACAAGGAGAAGGGCCACAAGGGCCAGCAAAAGAGCAAGGACCACATGCCGTCGACCGCACAGACGCTCATGGACCTGGTTATCACCATGTCAGCGTACCTGCCGCGCGAGAGCTTCGCCACGCTCTTTGAGATTGCCTCCCTCATCATCAACCGCGACGACGAGCCGCAGCTGCAGAAGAAGGCGTACAAGCTAATACCGCGCCTGGCAACCTCAGAGCTGGGCAAGGCGGCGCTCGAGGCGCGCAGTGTCGAGCTGCAGCAGCTCCTCATCGCCAGCACCGACAAAGTGTCGGTGCCGGCGCGCCGTGACCGCCTCACCGCCATAACCGCCCTCCTGCCCTACGTCCCCGACACCCAGCTGCACTTTATCCCGTCAGTGCTAAGTGAGGTCGTCATCTGCTGCAAGGAGAACAATGAGCGCGCACGCGAGACGGCCTACGAGCTGCTCGTGCAAATGGGCGCGCGCATGGCCACCGCCAACGATGCGCCCATTGACAACAGCAAAGTCCCGCACATGCCCGGGGACGCACCCGCAGGCACGGCCAATATCGAAGAGTTCTTCACCATGGTCAGCGCGGGTCTCGCCGGCAGCACGCCGCACATGATTTCCGCCAGCATCACCGCCATCAGCCGGCTACTGTACGAGTACCGCGCGGGCCTGAGCGAGCAAACGCTGTCAGACCTGGTGCAGACGATGGACCTCTTCCTCACCTCCAATAATCGCGAAATCGTCAAGAGCTGTCTGGGCTTCGTCAAGGTATGCGTCATTGGCCTGCCGGTGGAGCTGATGCGTCCGCGCCTCGCCACGCTCGTGCCCAACCTGCTGGTCTGGAGCCACGAGCACAAGGGCCACTTCAAAGCCAAGGTCAAGCACATTCTCGAGCGCCTGGTCCGCCGCTTTGGCTACGACGGCGTGCAGCAGCACTGCCCCGAGGCCGACCGCAAGCTCATTGCCAACATCCGCAAGTCCAAGGAGCGCGCCAAGAAGAAGAAGGAGGCGGCCCGCGCGGGCGGCGACGACGAGAGCGACGAGGAAGGCGACGAGGACAACGGCAAGCAGAAGCAGCACTTTGACACCGAGTATGACCGCGCCATTTACAGCAGCGAGTCGGAAGGCGACGACGATGATAAGGAGGACGCGGACGAAGCGCCCCGGCAGAAGAAGAAGACGCAAAAGGGCGGCAAGACGTACATTCTCGAAGACGACGACGAGCCGCTCGACTTGCTCGATAAAAAGGCCCTCGCCAACATCTCCTCCACAAAGCCCTCCAAGGCCCGCCAACCACACAAAAAGTCCAAGGCCAAGGTCGACCTCGACGGCAAGCTCATCCTCGGCAAAGACGACGCCACCGACGAAAACGCCATGGAGATTGACCAGCCCCAAGAAGCCGGCTCCGGCGTCGGCGCGTACGTGGCTGCCATCAAGGGCAAGGACGCCGGGCGCCGCGGCCGCGGTGGCCAGCTCAAGTTCTCCAACCGCCGCTCCCGCGACGACAATGACGACGACGACGAGGATGGCGGCGTGACGCTCATGGATGACAAGGCGGCCGTCATGGTCAAGAACAAAATCAGCCCCGGCAAAGGTGGCGACCGAGGCCGTGGCGGTCGCGGCGGCTTCAGAGGCAGAGGTGGTGGTGGTGGTGGGAGAGGCGCACGTTCGGGACGCGGTGGTATCTCGAATGGTAGACGAGGGTTGGGCGTGGAAAAGAGCCACGGGCCGACAGGGGCGAATGGGATTGCCAAAGGTCGACGAGGAGGTCGGAGCTAGACACAGAGCAGAATGAGGTTGACTGTTGGATTTTTGCAGGAAAGCGAAAAAAGAAACACATGAGAGAATGGATTTAATATTCAGTTGTTTTTGGCATTTTACACAGAAATGGAGACTGTACATACCGGGTAGAAAGACCGAATACAAAAAAAATATACATCAAAATATAGTACAAGAGCCGATGAGTAAAACGTGAATAAGTGGTGTATTTCGTCATCAGGTAACATTGTCTGAATATGCATCTCTCCTTTCCCATCGGCCGCAAACATGTGTAATGGTCCCCCCCCCCCTCCCCCTTTCCTCTCTTGTATCATTTCCGTGAACAATAACAAAAGACAAAATAAAAACATTTATAGCAAAAGTCTTATGGTGTTTCCCGCAGCGCTATGCAAATTTCGACAAGGAAAAATCGGTCCCGCAGCTCAGAACATTAAGCAAACAGAGGGAGAACAGACAACGAAAAAAAAAAGGTCCATCACAAGCAAGATTGCGACATCGATAGGCCCAAGCATGCATTCATTCAGTCCCTCGACAATAAACGTGAAATCGTGGCGTTCCACCATTTCATACCCCTTCTCATCAATAAACGTATTATGCCCACGGAGCGTGTCCGCGGGTCTTAGTCGAGAACAATGACGTTCCCTCGCGGCCCGTGCCGACGCGGCGATGTCTGAATGGGCGGTGACCGGTACCCATGCCCCCGAGCCTGTCCGTGCACGTACTGGCCGTCTCTGGCGGTGCCCCAGCCGTTTTGAGTTCTGCATCGTGTGAGCACATCGTCGTCAGGGTCTGCGAGGCAGGAGTCTTTGTCATATATATAAATAAGGAAAAGCAAGCAAATGTGGAGAAAACCAATAATACTCACAGGTCCCTTCGAGGTGATGGAAAGCCCCCTTGATGCTCGGCGTGGGATGGGGACCGCGACACGGCGCGGATATGGATCGGGCCGTGGTCCCGGTGGTCGGCAAGTGCTAGAGGGGCCGGCTGCGGGGGACTTATCTGGTACTGAGGTCTCCAGGGAAGCACCGCGTGGGCGGTCTCGCGGGGAACGGGATACATCTCGATGCCCTCCATCTCATGGTCTTGCACCATCGGACTCTCGCGGCGGGGCGCAAACTGGCGGTTTCCATACAACTCCGGGGGACGAGACCAGCGGCGCACTTCGCGAATGTGGATGGGTTCTTCCGTCTGGGGGACGCGCTCGTAAAATCCTCCCCTATCCTCCATAACGATGGGGTTGGAGCGCTCTCCTGGCCGGTTGACATCCATAATGATCCTGTGCGCAGCGGCGGAGCCCTGTGCATGGACTTGCCAAGAGTCTGCCTGAAAGTGGCCGTTAGGCCCGGGAGGTTGTACGTCATTTACTTGCCTGGCATGAAGGTATACTTCTGTCCCGTACGGTGCTTGAAAGGGATGGTATGATATGGGGGCCTGAGGAGGCGCTCCCAAGTACTGGGATGCAGGTCCAGATGCTATCATGAATGGGGCATTCCTTCCTGGAGCGCCGGTCTGGTACTGAGACTGATTCCAATTGTCCGGGTGTTGAGTATCCATGGCGCGCTGAGTGTCCATAGCGCGCTGAGTGTCCAAAGCGCGCTGAGTGTCCATAGCGCGCTGAGTGTCCATGGTGTGTTGAGGGGGTATGCGACGCACAAATGAGGGCTGCATTGGTGAGGTTGGCTCTATCGAAGGGATCGGTACATCCTCGGACGGGGGCGTCCTCGGCCGGGACGTTGACGGTCCTGCAAAAGGAGCTCGATGGGTTGGCTGTACTGGAGCAACAGAGTGTATTGGCTGTGGACGGGGGTAGGTCGAATACGGGCTATTGTCAGTTTCCATGATGGTACAAGAGGAAGAGCCCCGAACCTCTCTATTCCGCCGGATGGCTTCTTCCCAGGCACGATATCGCTTAAAGCCGCGCTGATTCCGCCTCTGGGATTTGGACCCCTGCTGGTTAGGTTCAAATACAGAGGGCTGTCCAAGTCCAGGAGCGGGGCCGGGTTGGCCTATATGCACATCCATGGGAGTATCCAATCCGGTTTGTGGCAGAGTAAATCTTGGGCTTGATGGTCCAGCCGCAGCACGTTCCAGGTCGGGTTCCTCAGCGGAGGTGGCATCAGTCGATTCATCGTCCGAATCTCCCGTCTCCGAGTCTGAGATGACGACTACTTCACGGAGAATCTCATCCAATTGATCGCGGCCAGTTTCTTCGTCGCCTCGCCACTGGACAAGAGTATCCAGGCAGAGCTGTTCGACAGCTTTGCGAGCACCCTCCCAGGATACCTCCTTGAGGAGCCGATCATACGTTGTGTGGTTATGACGTATATGGGCCAGTACAGCCAGCTGCACTCTTCGAGCCAGGGAGATGTCGTTGGAAAGGCCGACGGGTGCGGCACCTTTGGTGGACACGCCGCCCTGGTTACTGTGGTTAGCGAGGGACGTGGCAGGAGCCGGGAAACGAACTCGGGTAAAGGAATGGTCAATGATCATTTGGCGATCCGTGTTGGGTATGCGAGGAAACAAGTCTCTGAGAGCAGCGTCAGCCTGTGCATGGTAGGCTTCCTGTGATTCGGGGATGGGTTCGGGTTCTCCGTTGGTAGCGACGACGGGCAGCTGGGAGAAGTGATGCAGGCTGGCCTTGGCCTCTTCAACGATGGTTGCCCGAATGTGATGGCCGGTGCGGTGAATCTGGCCGGAGATATGAGGTCCGGCGGCGCCTTTGGAAGCCTGCGTGGTGGGCGTTAATATTGGGGGCTACAAGTGTCGAGCGGCCGCTGGCTGGCCACCTACGGAGACGATGAAGATCATGGCATCTTTTTCTCGCGAGATTTCTTTGCATGCCGTCGTCAGGTCGGGGTTGCCTATGGGGACAAACTCGAATCCTGGGGGCGGGGTTTTCTTGTTTGTGACCTAGGGATGAGGGTGAGTCGGGGAAGAGGTTACGGGCCACAGCGTCATGGTCAAACCTTGTATTCAAGCCTCTTCTTCTTGTTCTCGTTGGCAACAAACTCAAAATACGTGTGATGCTTGGATTTGGGCATGAGAGGCTTCGCCGCAAAGCTGTCAGGCAGAGGAGCAGAGGGGTCGCACTGGGGCCTGCTCTGCCTCATGTGCCGCTCCTTTGGGCCGCCCACCACCGCGGCAGGGAGGCCGCGCTGTTCCCTCACCATTTGTGGCAGCTATGTCATGTTTAGAGGGGGAGGACAGTCGAGATGCAGGCAGCCAGTTGAGCGAAGCCAGCGCGCGGGAGCAGCCAGGCCAGCAGCGGATAGCAGGCAGGTCTCTGGGCGAGGTGGGAGGCGAAACGAATGGTGATGCCGCAAGGCATACGGTCTGCACCAGCACAAGCTATGGCCACACGGGTACCGCGAGTGGCTTTTCAAATGACCACACCCGAGAAGGGTAAGTCGAAAAAGGGAAACTTGATCAGCGGAGCAGGCCTTTTGAGCTAGCTGGGAGCGCGTTTGATGGATGTTGGGGAAGTTGGGCCACAAGTGAAGTTGGTTAGGCAGATCATGATTAGGTAATCATGCAACTGCGATGTGAAAGATGCAAAGGCGGGCATCACGTGTGATGTATGGCGGCCAGACGAGATTGGGCTGTAATTGGGGATAAATAGTGCGGTCTCGATTTATGCAGCTTGGGGTTTAAAGGACCAGTTAGATTGGTCAAATGGACGAGCTGGGAGGCCATTGGCGGCGAGATGCAGCGGCACAGCTGGTGCCGTGGGGGAAGCCTTTAGATTGGCTGTTGAAGTATTACAAGTGTCATGAAAACTGAACAGCTTGTGGGTGGTTAGTAATACATGTACGAAGTGGCACAGGCTATGAGGTATGAGCTACGAGTACGAGGACTGAAGTTTGTTAGATGATGCATCTGGTGCCAAGGCATCCCGCATGGATCACCCACGTTCCATGCCATTGTCTGGGTGCGACGGTTGTTCAAGGCAACAATTGGGACATAATCATGCCACGCCTGGTCTCTGCACATTTTGAAGGGACTGAGATGATGGATGATGGCTGCCGGAATCGTATCGGATGTGGTCGGGTCGATGGGCAGCATGGACGGGTAGTCAGGAGCCTAGCATTGGAAGCCCAATGAAGCAAATAGCAGGGGCTCGAACTGATGCCAAGTGAAATTGGAGCATCCCGAGTAATCAATGACACTCGCGCGTCTTTGAGTGTAATTTTGATGAAACCCGTTCGGTGAGTGACAAAGGTGAGATGCATGCATGAAGCCCGGGACGGTGTGCCAGTGTCGACGGAGCCTTTGACATTGGTAGTCAGCGCAGGCGTGCAGAGGAGCGTCAATGCCAGACCGCATATTCAGTCGAGTTGGGGCGCGTGATATAAAAGGCACTGGGAGGGTGAGCAGGTGGCCTGTTTTGATTTATGCGATACTTGGTCTTTTTTGTCTTGGTGTTGTGCTCTTGAGATTGGCTCCCAATGGAGTAATGGTGTGACCGGTGCCGAAGAAGCGACAGCCGGTAGAATAACGACACGTGACTGGAATGTCACCAGAAACACGTGATCAAATCTAAAGTGGAGCTTGGGCAGGACAAGGCAGCAGCGAACTGACCAATGACTGGGTCTAGCGCAAGGACAGCACTGCCACGGTTGGCAGCGAGATAACGAGATACATGTGGGAGGCGGTGCAAAGATGCCGGAAAAGCGTACTGTGTTATCGAGTGCGACAAGCGAGGCAAACAAGAGACAAAGCGCAGGATCTGAGACGAACAAGACATGTGTCTGGGAAGAGTCCGGAGTCCGGAGTACGGCTACTGGTAATTTGTTCAACGGTCATGGGAGTTGACGGTTTACCGAGTGCGATGCCGACGCACTTGAAGCATGAAGCCAGCCAGGGGTGCGCCGGGGTGTGGGGGTTGTCGGGAGGGTACATGGAGGACACACGGTGCGGCTGGGTTGGGTCATGTACCTTTGGACAGAAGGTAGAGTTTAGCGCTAGAGGGTGAAGTGGGTGGCAGTGCTGGATCCCTTGGGACGGGTGGGGTGATGTTCGGGGAAGGCGACGATATTGTTTATTGACTGTATTTAATAACAGGAAACGGTAAAAGTTTGTTATGGCATTGGATTAGGGACTGGAGCATTATTGGATAGGAATGCCAGAATAGAAAGTGCATGAGGAGGCGACTGAGGCAACTAACCGATTGAGGGCTTCTGGAGCAGAGAAATATGTACACAGACGATTTGGCACACATGTACTGGGAGAAAAAGGGTACGTCAGCTTCTGGACGCTAAACAGACAGTTGGACGACGTAGAGGCAGAAACGGCAAAAACGGCGGGGGGAAGGCTCCCAAAATAAATAGAAACCGTGGCCAGGGACATTGATGGAATGGAGCGATTGGCTGACGGGAGGCGCAGCGACGTGGCTGCCCGTTTTGGCATACGTTGCGTCGTCATCATTTTTTGGGGCCAGCACATGGTATCAGAAGTACATTGTTCTTGGCCGGTCCGTCCAGCAGAAGAAATGTATATCGGATGGAGACCCGGCAAACAGCAAGAGCCCTGAGCGCCGGCCAAGGTCCGTTGAAGCAGCCACCAGCAACAGCTCTGAGCACCAATTAGCCGTGCTTGTAGCGCTTCCATGCACTGTCAGTCAGCTCGCCCAGTGGCCCGCTGATGCACTAAAAAGAAGCCCTGACATGCCCAGCAGGCTAGCACGGGCATTGAAAAAAACAGCGCCAGAAAGAAAAAGCTGACGCGTCCCTCATCCCCCTTGGTCTCCACTATCTATCCAATCTCACCAACCACATGTCCGCCATGGAGACTCCGAATTGCCCTGTTTGGCTGGTGCTTGGCTCATCCGCGCCAGAGCCTTGTTCGCTTGACCCTCCTTGTCCTCCCCCCATTTCGCTGTTCCATTCATAGCCACAACCACCCCCTTCGTCCGCCTCACGTCACTTTTTCCTTTCGGCCTTTCCACTTCTCTTCTTTCACCAAACACCACCATCATCACTTCACCAAAGCATTCTGCCCCAGACTTCCACGAACATACAACTTTCTGCATTGCAAAAGAGTCATCATCTCTGCTCGGTTCCCATCGCCACCCTTGACCTTTGCCCATCGCCACATCGCCTTGACGGCATCCAATCTATCATCATGTCGGCCTCGGCCCCAAACGATTTCGATGCTCTGCTCGACCTCTCTGAGTTCGATGCAAACTACCAATCTCCTTCGCTCTCCCCCAGCATGAGCACCAAGCCCTCCTTCGCCAGCCCAATTTCCGATATGACTCCCTCGGTCGCACCGACGACGCAAAACATGACCGGCCCCAGTCACAACTATGACATGTACCGTCAGCAGACCGGTTTTGTCCCCGGTGCCCTCGCCAACACCATGGCCGTCAACCAGACCAACAACACCGGCTACCAGGACTTTGGCAGCCTCGAATACCTCACCAGCTTCTCTCCCGAGAACGAGGCTTTTGACTTCAATACCTCGCCCGCCCAGACCACCCTGCCTGCCTCGGATCTCGAGATGGACTTTGACTCTTCCAACTCGGAGCAGTTCTTCACCGTCAACCCCAGCAACATTGAGCAGCATCATCAAGTCTCGGCCGGTAGCTCGCCCGGCCGTCTCTGGCCTGGTGCTCACACCCAGGCTGCTGCCGTTGCCAAGGCCCAGGCTCACCAGCGCCAGTTGATGCAGCAGACTCAGAGCCACAAGGCTCGTGGCAAGGCTCCCCAGGCCAGCGATCCCATCGTCGAGCAGAAGATCACCCAGCTTCTCAACAACATGCGCCAAAAGTCCGCCTCCGCCTCGGGTGACTCCCAGCCTGGCTCTTCCAGCATGCCTCGCTGCAAAAAGTCCGAGGAGGATATGGACGAGGATGAGCGTCTCCTTGCCAGTGAGGAGGGCAAGAAGCTCAGCTCCAAGGAGCGCCGCCAGCTCCGCAACAAGGTCTCTGCCCGTGCTTTCCGCTCCCGCAGAAAAGAGTATATCTCCCAACTCGAGAACGAGCGTGACCACAAGGATGACGAGGTCGTCACCCTCCGCCAGAGCAACCGTGCCCTTATGGAGGAGAACAAGCGGCTCTCGGACTTGACTCGCATGCTTCTCTCCTCGCCCAGCTTCTCTAACTTCCTCGACCACCTCAGCACCAACTCGGCTGCCATTCCCCAGGTCCCCATCAAGGTCGAGCCGCAGCCCGAGCAGGAGCAGGTCCAGATTCCCAAGGATGCCAACCCGTACGGCAACCAGTCACAGCAGCAGATCGGCATGGCTATGATTCCCGAGCAGAGCATGGACTACTCTATGCTCGCTCTCGACGGCTACAACTTCCAGCCTACCGTCTTCGTTGTCGACACCCCCGAGATGCCTGCTCCCATCGACGTTGGTCTCCTTTCTGGCAAGACTTGCAGCCTCGTCGAGTCATTTACTGAGGAGACAAAGGTTGAGGTCCCTGTCATTGAGCGACTTGTCCAGACCGAGACTGTCGAGCCCACCGACGTCGCCCCTGTCGACGACAAGTTCGAGTCTGACCCCGAATACGCCCTGTTCCATACCCAGTCCTCTACTCCCGCTACTGAGTCGGTTGTTCTGTCGGAAACTCTGTCTCACATGAACGTTTTCGGTGGCATCAATACCGAAAAGGCCCTGGCCCGTTTTGAGCTCGTTGATGCCACGGAGGAGGAATGCTCTGCTGCCTATGCCATGGCTCGTGTCCAGCGCATCGCCGCTAGTGCCGAGTCTGTTGTCGCCAGATTAGAACTCCTCACTTTGGAGTTGTAATTTGTTTCGATATATTTGTTTTTGCAGCACAAAAGACTTAGAGCGACCATGGATTCAGCAGAGCGTTTCATTCGTACAACAATTACTGTGCATATTTGGGAATGGGTTACTGGGATAACGGAACGGCGTTTGGTACAAGCACTGGCTTGCTTTTCTACATATATATTTCTCTTGCATCTATATTCTTTGTATAGATAGATCCGCGAGGGCACACTACTCAATGAGAACGACACGTTAAATGACTTGACCACTTGCTGGTATTACCATGTGACTGTTTTGTAGATGTGACATGTCTGTGAGCCATGTTGAGAGTTTCACTGTGATACATCTCGGCCAGTCTATTGTTGCACGAGGAAATCGTCTGGCAGTGTACAGTGGAGGGGCAAAATGGTCTGCCGTATCGCTGTCCGCGGGATGATATTCATGCAGGTATTTTTAGCCATGAAACCGAAAAGCACGCTGATCTGCCGTCGCACTTGTTTCACGACGTGAGGGAGCACAGTGCGCATGTACTGTGTGTGAAGCTGGGTGCACAGTAGCATAGAAACCGTGTCGGACGAAAACGGGTGATGCACGCAAGGAGGAGACATGTGAGAAAATCGTCTACCGAATGGGGAATTGAGACGGGAATGACTTCGGCAATCACAAGCAGCAGATAAGAGTCTGACATATGTATGCTATTAGATTCTCAGAAGACTAATCGTACATGAATCAGACTGAGACAGGCCGGCCTCGGGGCATATGCCAGGACCGAGACAGGCCGGCCTCGCGGCATATGGCAGTAAATAGCGACGGAGAACTTGAAGAACTGACAAGACGACGCAACCGCACCACTAATCCATAACCTTGCCCAATTTGGCCTCGTTGTTGTTCCCATTCAGACCAAGGACGCGCCTGGCCCCCGCAAGCGCCTTGTCCGGCAGCGCCGCGATCCAACACATCGCATAGAGAGCGACACTAATCGTACCAAACACCAGCAGCGGTATCAGCGAGTACGTGACCAAATCTAGCCCGTTAGCATTTTTGTTTTGGGTTTTTTGCCCTTTGTCTCCTTTTCACAAAGCAACGGGTTCGGGAATCCAGACTTACACACGAGCCCACCCGAGCGCTTCACCACGTCGTACAGCTCCCCGCGCATGATGCCGACGGCCACGGCCTCGTCCCTCCACGGGCCAACCAGGCGAAACTTGGGATTGAAGTTGGACCCCATGGCCCAGGCGTAGAAGCAGCGCCAGCCGCCCTTGCGCGCCACGCACGTCCAGGTCGGCGCCGCGCCCATGTCGAGCGCCAGCTGGTACGCGTAGCTCTCGTGGTCGACGCCCCGTTTGTCGGCGTGCAGGTCGTAGCCGGCGCGCGGGTGCAGCTTGTAGTCGAGCTCGTACGGCGCCACCGCGTCCGCGCCCGCGGCCGCGCCCGTCGGCGGCGGCACGTCCCGCGGGAAGAAGCGCTGCAGCAGCCGCAGAACCCACAGCTGCGCCTGCAGCTCGGCCAGCGGCGGGATCGCCCCGATGCTCGGCCGCACGAACCCAATGTACGCCACGTCCGGGCTGTCGGCCCGGTAGATGCCCCGCGCCGTGCACGCCCCGAGCGACGGGTACGCGCCCCGCGTGTGGTCGAGCATCGGGAAGCTGGTCGTGTAGCCGGTCGCGAGGATGACCACGTCTGGCTTGACGGCCCGGCCCGGCGACGGACAGTGCATCGTGCCGGCCGCGTCAATGTGCGACGGCCACTTGTGCACGGTGATGGTGCGCCCGTGGTTCGGCGCCAGCGGCACGTTGAGCAGCCGCGCGCGGAGCCGCTGCAGCAGAGAGGTGGAGCGGTGGCCGGCGGACAGGTACGGCAGCGCGCGGTCCGACTTGCACATGAAGACTGCTCGCGTCTGTTAGTTGAAACAAACACAACGAGAGAAAGGAGAACGTGCGGGAATCGAGGTGCTTGCGCTCCTTGCTCATCTGCCCGACCCATTGGTCCGGACCCTCCTCGGTGCCCGAGATGCACCAGTGCATCGTGCGCACCCAGCAGTCATATGCAGCCCACAGGAGCGGCCCGCGCTGCAGCAGCGGGTGCGCGTACGCCGTGTCGAACAGGCTTGCGACCGAGGTGTCGACCGGCTTGTTCGGGCGGGTGCCGGCGGGCGCGGGACGTCCCCCGGGTGTCGGCATCGGTATAATCTACACCGCCCAACATTTCTTTAGTAAATCCGTCTTGACGAGACTAATTCTTTTTGTGTGTGTGAGCGGGATGGGAGAGCACATTCCGTACCTTTGGCGCGCAAAAGAAGCCCTCGCGGTGACACAGCGTCACCGACGCCGTCGGGGCCGTGACGGCCAGATGCGCCATGTCCATGCCCGTCTCCCCGGCGCCGAGGACGACGACGTGCGTGCCCTCGCCCATCTGCGCGCGCGTCTTGACCTGCGACGAGTGCAGCACGGTCGGCACGCGCGCGAGCCCGGGGATCTCGTCCGGGAGGCGCGGACACACGTTGATGCCGGTGCACAGCGCCACGGCGTCGCAGTCCCACGTCTCCACCACGGCAGCGCCCGACTCCGCGGCGCGGCTGATTTCCACGCTGTGCCCGGCGGCCGGCCGGCGGACGATGCGCGTGACGCGGGCGCGCGGGTGGATGTGCGGCCACAGATTGAAATGGGTGGCGTAGGCCCGCAGGTACTGCACGTACACGGCCGGCGTGACAAAGTCGGGGGCGTCGAGGGGCAGACGAAAGTCGGAGAAGGCGGTGAGGTATTTGGATGAGACGAGCTGTTTTTTTTTTGTTACGTTGCTTCTGTGTCAACTAGATGTTTTTGGAGCGAGGGAACATTTGATGTATAACATCGGGTGTGTGTGTGTGTCGGCATACCTCGGCGTCTTCGTAGACGCGCTGCACAAACGTCCCGCCAATGTCGTCCCCGGCCTCAAAGAGACGCACGTCGAGCGGCGGAATCGCAAAAAAGAGGTGCGCCGTGGCGAGGAACTTGAGCGTGGCGAGGCCCGCGGGGCCGCCTCCGACAACAGCGACCTTCATGCTGTCTCTTTGCTTTCGAAACCCAACTTGATGAATAAGACGCGTCTAAAGAAACGGAACTGAGAGAATAAAGGAAAAGTACTATATAGAACAAAAGGAATGAGAATTAACTTGAAAAAAAGGGCGAGGCAGATTCTTGGCGCGGGGTATGAAATATATACATCTCATACTGTAGCATCGGCAATGTACACACCATCAGCAGCGATCGGTGCCTAAATGATTGGGCCGACTTTCGCTGAGTGAGGAAACAGAGAATCGAGGCCGCAATGAAGATCAAGGCTGAAAAGGGCAACTCCTGCGACAATGTACAGCATCTTTGCTTGGCGCTCGGGTGTCTCTGTGTGTGTGTGCCTGAACGGACGGCGAGATCTGGGGGAACAGGCGCTTCTGTGACAGGCTTCTAGACTCGATCGATGCAACTGCTGTGGCACCCATCGCACAGCCTAGACGTTTTCAGGTCTTGACTTGTGCCGGCATTGCTGGCGGACTTGCATATTTCCTTGTTGTTCCCGAGCTCTACTGATCATGGTTCAAACGCATGTTCCGAAGCATGGAACTGGCGCTTGCCGCTTCTGCAAACCATCTTTTCATTATTCATGGTACTTATCGCAAGTGAAGAAAAATAAATGAAACTATAAATGAAACAAGGTCTCGTCTCGCTGGGGGGCAGTGTTTGCTCTCGCCACAGCAAACAAGAGTACAAACCAACCACCTTGCCGTGCGCAACATCAGCCCGAGATCTACTTTGTTCACAAAATGATATTTTAAACAGTTGCGCAATGCTTTTAATTAGGGTATATGCATTTCCCACAATTTCCAACACGTTTGTGGCACATCATCCCAAATCCATCGACGTGGCAGTATGCCTGGGAATAAAACGAACTATGACGATGCGATAGGTACTAGCGATAATGAAAGTTATAGAAAGAAAAGACACATCTAGAGCCACATTCAAGTGGTGACAAGAGGTCTATGTATTTGAATTTACCAGCGAGGGGCAAAGGTGATGAAGCCCATGAGCATACCAGACATCAGGCCGGTGACGGGCACGGTGATGAACCAGCCCATGTAGATCCAAGTGACCATGCGCCAGTTGATGGCACGCCAGTCGCCGTTGCAAAGACCGACACCGACAATAGCACCCGTGATGCACTGTGTGGTGGACACGGGGAGCTCGAGACGTGTCGCCATAATGACGGTAATGACCGAGCCAAGTTCCATGGAGAAACCACGCGAGGGCGACATGAGAGTAACGCGGTTACCCAGATTGCGCATAATGTGGTAACCATAGGTCCACAGACCGATGCAGATACCGGCACCACCAAAGGCGAGAATCCAGCGGGGGACGTCGGCCTTGAGGGGAATGACCTCGGTCTTCCAAATCTGGTAGATGGAAGCATAAGGACCGACCGCGTTAGCCACGTCGTTGGCACCGTGGGTAAAAGAGGCGGCAGCAGCAGTCATGACCTGGAGGAAGGTGTAGAGGAACTCAGCCTTGTTGTCAAAGTGGCGGGCGTGGGCATGAATCTCCTCCACGTCACCAGCAATAACTGATTTTTCTCTCTGGGAGCCAACAATGTCCTGGTCGACACCACGAAGAACAGCCCACTTGAGCCACCAGAAAGCGACAGCGGGAGAATACCAAACACCTTCGGGCTTGGGACCGATGATAGACTTGTGCGTGGACTTGGGAGGCTGCTCTTCCGTGGAGACATCCGAGACGGCCACCTTCTCGTGCTGACCCTCAAGGTCACCAGTGACAACAGCGGCATTGCGGTTGCGATGGGCGTCAAGCTCCTCGCGGGTCATGTGGCCCTCGTAGTAGTTGCGGACGACACCGGTAAAGTTCTCCGGGGGAGGGGGCACCTCACCGCGGCGGAGCAGCAGAGGACCCTGGAGGATGTGATAGGACTTGAGTTGCCAGTCCTCCTTGATGACGACACGGTACATCCAGGGGACGAGAAAGATGGTGATGAGGAGGGCAAAGCCGGCGCCAACACCGACAATGACACCGGGGATCTGCGCTTCGGTCAGGGCGACCTTGTAGTCGCCGCCCTTCCAGATCAACAGCATGACAATGAGGGACGAGGTCAGCCAAAAATAGATGGGCACGAGAAAGAGACCCTTGGCGGCGGGGTTGGCGCGGAGAAGGACACCGTACTTGGTGATGAGGAAGATGATGGCACCAAAACTACCAGACAAGATGGGGGCAATAATCCAGGCAAGGAAGACCTGGACAACACCCTGCTTGAGATCAAGAGAGCCAGAGGCGTGGTAGCCTACCCATGTAATACCCTTGTTACCCAGGGCACCGATACCCATACCGAGGACACCGCCGAGGATCGAGTGCGTAGTCGAGACGGGCATACCATACTTGGTAGCCATGGTGAGGTAGAGGGAAGAGGCAGTGACGGCGCAGACCATGCCGAGCATGAGAAGACCCGGCGACGCGGAAAAGGCCTTGACATCGACGACCTTTGTTCGGATGGTATCGGCGACACGGCCACCTACGCCGAGCGCTCCTGAAAACTCCATGAGCGAGGCGCCGCACATGGCCTGGAGGTAGGTGACGGAGCGGGACGAGACGGAACTGGCCCACGAGTTGGCGACATCGTTGGCACCAATGTTCCAGGCGTCGAGGAAGGCGAAGATGGTGCCAACGGCCAGGAGGTAGTCGTACTGGTGGAGGACCATGTTGGCTGATGCGTCACCCGAGGTGGCAGACAAGTGCAGGTGTTGTTGTCTCTTGCAGAACCTTTCCAGAAGATTGACAGAGAAGAGCACCAAGACTAGCTAGCAAGTGCCAGTATAGAAGAAGACAAAAAAATCGAGGAATGACCTGCAGGGGGAAAGGACAACTGTGAGCTAGGCGAGGACGAGCAGACTATATAGCTGATACGAGTCGAGAGCCAAGCGCATTAGCCAGTGGACAAGGGCATTTTTTCCGGCGGCGCACAGCTTACACGCCAAGATGCCGACGTGCCTTCTTTCGCAACCGATCAATGTTGGAACCAGTAAGGCGCAGCAGGGGGCATAGAGAGAGAGGTTCCCAAAGGTAGGGATGGTGCCGGTCTGTTGGAGGACGACAGTGTGTGTGTGTGTGTGTGATGGCGGCAGGCAGGCAGGGGCGCTGTGGAAACATGAAAGCTGGGCGCTACAACGCAGTGTGCTTGACATGCCGACGCGCCAAGAACGAGCTGTATCCTTCGGTCTAGCAGTAGGTAAGAAGAGGCACAAGTTGGCAGCCAATTCAGCCATGTGGTCCCCTGCTCCATTCAAACCCGGTTGGCAAGTCTTGGGTGAGGCGTTTCTCGCTGTCGGGTTCTGCATGGATCTGCGTGTTATAGTCTTGGTTTTGAACTTGATCCTGTGACTCTATCGCTATTCGCTGCGGCTGATCTTGGTGCTTTTACGACGAGTATCTCGGGGACTCTGGATTCTCGGTTCGTAGGTCAAGGCTGGAAAATCGGACACGGACGGCCAGACCAACACTGGGTTTGCTGAGGATAGCAATAGCCACTTGGTCATAATGCAATCAGTCCGATGAACCACCCCCCTCCTCCCCGCTCTTTGTAGCTCCCGCCGACCAAACGACTCCGACGGTAATGCTCGTCGGTCACTAGATAGGTTCCAAACGGCTCAGATAGCAGCCATTGGAGGCCATCGGTGGCTCCGAGGAAGCATCGATGTCTGCCGTGGGGATGTTCCATGCGATTGCCTAAAGTGACCTCTGAGGTATGATACCACGTGGGTGAGTTTGCGAGCTTGTTTTGATTGACGGTTCAAGTGTCCCCGGGGCATTGTTATTAGGCCCCGGGTGGCTACGGCCGGCGCCATGTGGGTGTTGTGGCAGGCATGTGGTGGGCGGAGCAGAGAGACGTGGGGATGTATGTATCTTGGTATTTGGTGGTACAAGCCATGGTAAGTAAGACGATGGATTAGATCCGAGGTTGACAGACTGATCGAGGCTGGTGATGCTTGAGAGAGGGGTGAGCAGAGCAAACGGGGGTTTGGTACGAGGGCCGGCAGTCACCTTGGTAGGTTAGTCACGCCATTGCCTCACCCACACACCACAACTTCAACCGTCAACTTCAGCCGTCAGGCCAAATGGAAAGCAACAAGAATTTGACGATATCGTTCCCTTTCAAGCAAAATTAGTTAGCGCATCGAGCTACAATAACTTTATCTTTTTACATTGGCGCTACCGCCAAGCCACTACCGTCCCATGCCTGCCTACATGGAGACAGCCTGTAACTGTAACGCCTCCGTAATTCCACGACCGCCACACGACATAAATCACCCAAAAATCGCTATTATAACAACGTTTCCGAGCGCCACCAGCAAAAACTATCCAGATCTTCCCCGCTCGGCCAGCCAATCATTCCGTGCGATCGCTACACGTGCATCCCTGTTTGGCAACTGCGAGGTTGTCGACTGACTCAGCACCACGACTTCTGTTCAGAACATACAAACACAGAGTGTTGTGTTGTGTGTTTTTCTACTCGTTTCCCCAGTTTCCCCCCTCTCGTCTGAAATTCGTGGCAACAAGGTACGGATATCCCGCTGTCACGAGCATTGAAAGTAACGCTTGCTAAACCTTCCTCAGACGACACTTGATAATTCACGATCCAATACTCTAATACCATTCATCGAAAACGCTTTCAAACTAGACCTACCACCATCGAGGACACTGGCACGTTTTCAGGCGATTTTTCCCACAGCTCTCCGGTGGCCGCAAAACGCCTCGAGTCGGATGGCGCGTCTTGGCAGCGCATCTTGGCAGACACCCACTCAGTCATCTCTCAGCTTTTTTGAGGAAGTATGTATTTCATTCACCACGGCCTGTGTGACCTACCCATATCCTCTATGCACGGGTAATCTCGCGCTCTTGAACTGCGCGGCTGCCGTTGTCACTCATGATTTGGTAGCCTGCGGGTGAGTGGGCCAATATTTTCATGAACCCCTCTCGACACATGTCCAAGACGGCGTGGTTGCCTCTCAAAGTCTTCTCTCCGTCTCTCGAGTCTGGTGGTATATTCTGCCTCTACCCGCTCGCACATCTTGCCACTCAGCGAAGGACCGAGTTCAGAGAACGGAGACCCGCCGCAACTCTGCGACCTTGGCATGGCCCGGCGAAAACTTCGCCAGCAAGATTGATTGCAATCAAGAAAAAATATTTTCTCATCTTCAGGGCCCTCTCGGATGCATCCAATCTCCCTCCTCTCGCGTCTAGGCATCGCCTATGGGGCCGTTCCGCCGTGCCGTGGAATGTTACATTGTTCCACTCCTTGAGCATGCAATATCATTCCCTATGAAAATTTAATATGAGGTTTGCGAAAGAAGCGAAGAACACTTTATAAGTTTTGGCATCCTTCATCACCCGTCACTGACAAATGTCATAGTGTCACCTCATGGGCTATATCTGTCCCAAGCCCCTGGCAACATCTTCCACCAGCCTCGCTTGCCTCGGAGAAAATGCCCGAGATGGACTCTATTACACAAAAGGTGGAGCTTCGGAGGCAAATACTGTTGAAAAGTACTTGAGGCCTTCCCACGTGTGTGGCCTACAGGTATCTTGAGCACGCCGCCTCTCCACCCCGAGCCTCGCGCGCGCTTGGCGTTTCGACGAGGAGACTTGCTACCTAGTTAGGGATAGGCCGATTCTTTTCCCAGTGAGGCTTTGATCGCGGATCAAAAGCTTATCGCCGCTGCCAGAATCATCACAAGTTCAACACAAGAGGTTGCCGCAGCGCATCAGAGATAATGGTAGGCAGTAGGACGCGGATCAAGTATGGAGTATCTGGCCATAGTAAGTGCTATGCAGGTTTGTACGGCCTAGAGCCTAAAGCGCGGGATTCGAAGTTTCCCGAAGCTGGGGCGGTGACTGTCGTGCGTCAGGAAACGTCGCCTCCCAGACGCTCATCAGTTCCAACATCTTGGCTTCTCCTCGTGCACCAGCAACAGCATTGACTCCCCAAGCGCGGCCGTTGAAGTCGGCGTAGCCTAAAGGAAGTGCGGACACGGCATATCCAGCTGCGGCTGCGAGACTTGCCATGCGGCCGTCGGACTGGCTGAGGATGACATCCACACCGAACTTGTCGAGAGCGCCGTCGATACGCGCCCGAGCCTCCTCCCTCATTTCTTTAATAATCTCCTCGAATTTGGGATTGACCTTTTCCTCTAGAATACTCTCGAGGCCGGCTTGGGAGGAATGTCCTGGCAGGGGTCAGTAATGCCTTCGGATGTGAGTATCGTTGAGTAGGACTAGGACAAACCAGGAGGAAGGCAGGTATCCGCATGGGTCCGATGATATTGAATCATCTCGGCGAGCGTCCGAACTTTCGCAGTCTCAAATTTGGTCATGAGGGCATCGAAGACGTCACGTAATCCGTAACCTGCAATATTGGATCAGCAAGAGATACTCGGAGATTACCGCCGCACGGCTATGGGAATAATCACCCCAGAACGAATCCGCATCAATGCCACGGGAGGTCATAAAATCGGCGTACTCCCAGAAGGGACTGAGAGTCACATCCTCAGCCACTGTCCCGCCCATTTTTCTGATCTTTTCTACTGCCTGCCGCATTCCGTCTTTCTAGAAGCAAGTCAGTCTTGAACGGGCGTTCACTAGAGTCGGGAGACAAACCACTTGGGCAGTGAACTCGTCCACTGGTTCAACGACAAACGGAGCAGGAGCCCAAGGCTCATACTGCACTATTCCGACCTTGATTCCTTGCCAGGAGCCTTTCAGCGCCCCAGTGAAATCCTCGCCCATCAAGAGACCGACCATATCTGCTACGTCCTTGGCAGTTCTGGCCATAGGACCTACTGCGTCGAAGGTCGGTCCTGCCAAGACATTCGCGACGGAAACTGTACCGGGTGTAGGCTTGAGGGCATAGAGGCCAGCACGAGAGCAGGGTTGAACTATAGAGCCGTCAGTCTCTGCGCCGAGTGCAATAGGGGCAAAACCAGCTGCAACGCCGATTGCACTGCCAGATGATGAGCCGCAAGGTGTCTGATATCAACTGTTAGCTGGGCATGCACTCATCGGCTGCTCTGACGGAGCATACGCTGTGTCCGAGAAATGTGGCATTTGCCGAAACGCCACCAACAACATAGGGGGATTGTCCTTGATTGCCAGCCGATGACCAGCCACCAGTGTTTGGCGGGGTTGCTTTGTAGTTGTTGAACTCCTGGAGACAATCATCAGCGATTGTAGAGGGTCATGGACACTGCCCAGATTTTAGCCTACCGAAATGCTCGTCTTTCCTAGCACAATCATGCCGGCATCTAGGATCTGTTTGGCATTAGTACCCGCAGGAGTCAGACCATCGAAAATGTCACTTACAAGGTCGACAACCGCAGCATTCTCAGTTGCCATTGCATCGATGAGAGCTGCTGAGCCAAATGTTGTTGCCATGCCCATGGATGCTTTGGTCAGGAAAGTGTCCTGCGAGTATCATCACGATTAGCCCCGCAGTTAGGATAGATGGTCCGCTAACAGGCGTATGCATACCTTGATCAGTATGGGGATTCCATGAAAAGGACCTCTCGGACCCTTTTCCTTTCGTTCCGCATCGAGGGCCCGAGCCTGGGTCAGGACAGACTCTCTCGGCGCTGTTGAGATGAGGGCGCGGACTCCGAGTCCATTGATGTTGTGTCGCTCTATCTGAGAGAAATACTCGGAGACGATGTGCTCGCTTGTCAGGCGTCCCTCAAGAAGGCCAGCGCGCAGCTCGCCTACAGTGGCGTCCAGCACATTGAGAGACATTGTCGGCTGAGCGGGTTTCCGCAACGGATGAAAGAACCTGGCAAAAGACTGGTAAAATTTGGAAAGCACCATATGAGAGGCAGGAAGACAAATTGCTGCAAAGACGATTAGGAATAACACTCTTCGACTCCGGGCCCGAGGCATACCTTCTTCTCCCGATTTGGTAGGATGAAGGAAGGAGACGGCGGGAGTGACAGAGTTCACATCTCAGAAGAGTTTGCTGCCTGAAGCGGGGTAGATAGGTAAGTACTTCACAATTACCTGAGCGGGAGGCTGCAAGCCACACAAGGAACACCGACATGCCACAAAGAAAGCGCTGAACTGTACCACGTAAATCTATACCGCTAAATGCAAGGGTACCTACAGTATAGCCTTCCTCATTTAGCCCTTTTATCTTTGGGTTTTTCAGTGAGGCTCTCTGGTTCTGTCTCATGCTCTGAAAAATTGTTGCTAATGTGCACCTTTCCGTGCAACTCTCTTGGGGTTCAACATAGTCGTCGGCGAATACCGGCGTGTGACATCTCATCCCTGCTACGCACCCTACGTTATGCCTGGCCTTGATAGGTTGATAAGTATGTCGGCAATTATATTGTATTAGCCAATAAGTGTCGTTAAATAATCTCCTGACGTTTCTCATGGACGGAAGCTCTTTGTTCTTCAACTTCGCGTAGCGCCAAACACGGACCGCAACACGTCAAACAGCGCGTTAGACAGCCTCTATAATGTCGGGGTAGAGTGCTATGGCTAAATAGAAAGAAGAAACTACAATAAGGATAAGTTGCTTGTTAGAGAGGTAGGAGCCAATCGGCTTGTTATTATCTAGTAGCGAAGGAGGAAGGGTGTCCCACTGGTTCCCCCCACCAAAGGCAGCGACTTTTACACCGGTGTAGTAGGGGAAACCGGTAAACTTGGCTTTATTCTATTATCTTTATTAAACTCTTATTATACTTATTATACTTATCGCACTTATCGTACTTATCGTACTTATCGTACTTATCGTACTTATTCTACTTATTCTACTTATTCTACTGCTGTCATTTAACTTCAGCCATTGTCTAGGTCGGCCAGACGGCGAGGAGAGGTACTCTTTAGAAATAATGCCTCTATTATATACTGCTCTCGTGTAATTGCCTGCGATTAACCCCCATGGCTATTTTTGTGTCGAATTATTTCTATGTGATTGTATTATTTGGACAGTTACTTCAAGGCAAATTCATCAAGACCCCTGCGTCAAGTTGCTGAACAAAGCAATGTCGACGCCCTGCAGCGCCCAATGGTCGTCGGATGACAGACCAGATCCGGCGAGATACGGCTCCGAGATGGTTCCAAGATCAAGGCTCGCAGAATGGCCAGCCCACTCATCGTCCTTTGGATGCGCCATGGAGCTGAATGGTCCCGGCAGGGTACCGCTGTCTGCCCAGTCCGTCTCGCGCGGCTGCGAACAAGGGGCACAATCTGCGTTTGGCGTGGGAAGCGTGCTACGGCCGCAACTGTCGCCGCCGCAGCACTCCTGTCCCGATGCCAGCCCTGCCTCTTGAGTCTCGCTACGTGCGCACGCCGGCTCGGCAGAGCCTGGCAGCTCAGAGTGGTTCTGGATGCGTATGGTGCCAACGTGGGGAATCTTAATATGCAGGACATCCGGCGCGCTGCTCGAGTCCCCAAAGTCGGCCGCGAACTCTGTCCTGCCGCCAGCCGCCTTCTGACACTCGACGGCCGAGATGCTGTAGCAGCCCCCCTTGAACGAGTCGAGTTCAATCTCCAGCAGCGGGGTGAGGATACTACTGATGCGCTTCGCAATGGGGTCCGGCCCCGTCTGCGTCATGCCCGCGACAATGTCCAGCAGGCTCTGCAGGAGCGCGCGGTCGCTGTGCCGCTGGTGCACGAGTGGCTGCAGCCGACTGAAGCCGCCCGCGCGCGCCAGGTGCTGCTGACGCCGGGCCTCGATGTGGACGAGACAGAGCGTCGTGCTGGCGATGAAGGCGAAGAAGTCAATCGCGCGGCAGTACGACACGGACGCCGGCGAGCCGTGAAAGGAGATGAAGCGCATCAAGATGGACCGCGCGGCATTCGCCACCGTCATCCTGCTGCAGTCCATGCGCGCATCTGCCGTGGCCGGCAGCAAAATGTACGGCAGGTGCAGCTGCACCAGCAAATGGTGGTACATGAACTGGTTCATGAGCCGCGTCGTCTCGTAAAACGCCGCGGCGCCGCTGCCCTCGAGCCGCGCGAGCGTCGGCGGCGTCACCAGCCACCACTGGGGCGTGAGCATGGCGGCCGCGCGCTGCAGCGTCGTGTCGATCTCGTACGTCGTGTCCAGGTCGCCGGCCTGCCCGGCGCCGTTGCGCTGCAGGATCAGGCTGCACGCCACGACCATGATGCGCTCGAAGCGCTCCAGCGGCGGCAGCGCCTCGAGCGCCGCCGGCGTCGCAAACGCATTCTCCGTCGTCGCCTGCGGTAGCCCCAGCAGCAGCGACAGGTGGCGGTCGCTGCAGACGAGCCGGAACCACACGTAGTCCGAGCGCGCGGCGGCAGTGGCGGCGCTGGTGGGCAGACCCGCGAGCTGGGCGAGGCTCATGCCGCGCCGGTTCACGAGCCAGGCGCGCCGCAGGTTGCCCCGGGTCGCGAGGTACGCCGTCTCCATGAGGTGGCTCTCGAGGCCGTGCAGGCTGGCCATGTGCTCGTGGCCGGCGGCGACGAGCCGCGCCGCCGCCGCGTACAGCCGGTCCTGCAGGGCGGTGGACCGTGCCGAGGCGGCGGGTGGGAGGCTGTCGAGGAGCGTCACGAGGAGCATCGCGTTGCGCGCGACGAGCGCGGGGTGCGCGGTCGCGGGGTCCGGTCGCTGCGTGGCCTGTCCGAGGCAGGCCGTGTGCGTGTCCAAGTGGCCCTCGTAGGGCTCGCAGACAATGCCGTTGAGCAGCAGCGCGGTGCAGGCTTGGGAGGCGACGATGCGGTCCAGCTCGGGCTGGCTCGGCCAGAGGGCGATGAGGTGGCGGGTGAGGTCCTCGGGCGTGTGCAAGTCTAGCGACGGGGGTACAGTATACTTTTGATCCGGCGTGCTTCCATCGTCACCCGGGCTCTCGTCCCCGGCACTCTGCTGCTCCTTCTTCTTCTTGACCAGGTCCTCGATGATGGACTCCATGCGCCGCAGCCGGTCCGCCTTTCTACCCGCGGGCGGCGTCTCCTCGTCCTCGTACTCTTGTCCGACGCACCGCGTCTGCCGGCTCTTGCAGCCATCGCACACGGCATCCGTCGGCGCGGCAAAGGTGCAGCGGATCTTGCGGCGCTTGCACTCCCAGCAGCTCTGCGTGCCCTTGCGGACCTTGCGGCGGGCGGCGGGCCGCGCAGCCGACATTCTGTGGTGAGCTGGTGGGATTTTTTTTTTTCGCTCTCCTTGCTGTGCGGCGGAAGAGGAGCGCCGCGGGCGAAGTGGTATGGGAGGCTGCACGTTGTATTAAAAATGTTTGTCGTGATGCCCAGGCTGGCGGCTTTGGGGCGGACAAAACTCCGCCGCGGCGGAAGAGACGGAGATCGGACGTTTCAACTCCACAACCGCAACGGCGGCCCGGCGGGTATGGAATCCGATTAGCTGCATGAATAATCAGTAATTCCGGGTCCGCTTATCTCGATGGCGTAATTGTCGCTTCTTGGGTACATATTGAATGGCGGAGCGGTTTGTTTGTAAATTTGAGACGCTCATCGCTGAATGGTAATATCTTTTCAAAGTCAAGTCCGCCTGCTTCACCCTCACTGTAGAGAGCGTACCGATGCATTCTCATACTTGGCCGCTGGTACGCACCCGAAATCACTGGTCGAGTAGTAAGATTATTCGTATTCGGATCAACCACATCCTAGCCAGTTTGCCAGTCCAATGATAACCCAGACTTTACGCACAACGCCAAATCATATCTGGGATGGATCATCGTTGTTTCGATCCAAATGCTCCGTCCTTTGACTGGCCCAGTCGCGGTTTTATCGCATCATCTGAAGCTGCCGGCCCCCACGCGCGAAGAAATGAAAGCCACCGTCTCGGTCTGATTTCGCTTCCAACTACCTTCCATGCTACAACTGGTGAATCAGAGGTCAAACTTGGTCTTACACACAAATCTCGGAGATATGGCATGTACTAGTGGGCGAGTGATTGCAGGGTAAGTAATTCGATAATTTGTAGCATTCTCCTTGCTTTTCTTCACGACACCGAGGCTCCTTCGGAAGCGTCGGGCTGTCGGTCTCAAACACTCCATTACACCAACCTTTTGGCTCAACGCAGCGGCCCTTGCATCCATCTCAGACACTGTGAAAGATCCAAATTTTGTCAAAGGAGACTGGATTTCCCTTCTTACCGGCGATCGAGGTTCAGCACTGCGTCTCGTCCAAGCCAATTTACCCCGTAGTTACTCTGATCGAAATCCCCGCTGGCCGTCCTTGTCCCGTCCGCTCATCTTCTGCACGCCGTCGGCCATCTCCTCCTTTGTATTCTGCAGCTCCCGCTTGCCGGCCGCCTTGGCCCGCTCGCCGGCCGCCATGGCCTTGCCGGCCGCCTTTTCCGCCTCTCGGGGCTGCGTCAGGTACGCGTAGGCGGCGATGGCGATGAGGCCGAGGCCGGCGTAGAGTGGTCTGCGTTTTTGCCAACCCGTGGTCAGTCACTTGTGCCATTTCGTCTCACTTCAACAAGGGGCGGTGCTTTACCCGTTGCGCCTAATGGCCTCGGGGCCGGCGGGCTTTTGGGGAGGCGGCATTTGGCCGCCGGGGCCGCCGAGGTCGTCCTTGGTGCTCACCAGTCGGGTCTGTGGTCGGGTGGCGACTGCGCGCGGCGCCAGGCGGGGGACGCTCCGGAGGAGGAGCTGGCGTGCTGCAGGTGTGTTCATGGTGAAGAATATGTATCAAAAGGTGTAGCTGAGGTCCAAGGATTTAAGTGATTATTTCTCAATGTTTTGGATGGTTTTTGCGAATTGTGCAGCGTTGGTAGTTGGGTCTTTATTATATTGCACGCGCCGAAGCAGTTTATGATGCAATCATTACGCTCTCGATCCATCCGGTGCCGCTGCCACTTGCGCCGCCCACACCCGCCGCCACCAGCACATTCTTTTGCAGACAATGCTTGGAGACGAATTGAATCGATTCTACTAGCTGATGACTTCCTACAAAAAAAAGATTTCTTCCCAATTTGCCCAAAATGTCCTGTGCGTGAACAGCACGGCATTGGCGATCCATCACAATGACAGCATGGCGCCGAGGAACAAAAGATTTGTCAAGCTTCAACATGAATTGAAGGGAATGCCACCGGGCTATCAGCCGGAAAATAAGACACCAGTCTAGTTTTGCAGTAGCACGGTATCAGGGTTGCCACAGTCCATGCACAGGAACTGTTGTAGCTACCAGGCACGCTTGGCACTTATACACGCCACCACTTCCCGAGCTGCAGCTTACACGAGCCAACGTGGCCGATTATTCACATTGGACGAACTGGGTGTCGGTTGCATATGGTCTTTGATTCGCTAAAATAGCATCACCATGACTTGGATCTGCGCGCATCGCCCCATTGACTCAACTAGCTCGGTACAGATGGCTAAATATGATGAGCGTACTCCATCACTTGCCAGCAATTCTCCTCAAAACACCCTTGGTCTCACCCAACATTATCTCCATTCCACCGCCGCTAGTACAATCTTCCTAGCCGCGGCCGGGTCGTTTCACCTCCCTGTCCAGCGGAGACGCCGCCCGCTTCTTGGTCTGTGGGCGAGGCCGACTCGAGATTGAACATCAACTTGGTAGCTTTCAAGACGGAAGTTGACAATAGAAACCGGAGTTGACGAAAAAGAAGACAAACAAACTCCTAATATTTGCTTACGGAGAAAAATATCCCCCGAATGAAGAGAAAAAAAGAGAATTTCGGTTCCTCGCGGAACTGCGCAACGAGTTGCAGAGCACCAGCACTTAAACACCACACCACCTCTAAAACACGTGCACAACTCTTTTACCCGACATTGATAAAGTCGCTCACTCGTCATGTAGTCAATAATCTATAATCCATCGCTCTCCCCACCCTCACACCTAGATGCGCTCGTACACACGGTTCGCCGTCACGCTGCCAATCGTCGACGTGACCCTGAGCTCCTTTTCGCCAAACTCGCGCACAATGGTGACATCTCTCCCGTCGCCGGGCTTCTGCGTCTGCGTCCAGGTGTTGCCGTCGGCCGCGACGCAGCTGGTGACGGAGACGCCGTCCTGGCGCGCCTCGGGAAACTCCTCGCCGAGCGCAAACTCAATCTGCGACGTGCTGAGCGCCGACGACGTCACCATGGTCCAGCGGTCGCCGTCGCGGGTAATGGTGATTTCGGGGCTGGTGGACTGCGCGAGCATGCGCTTGATGTAGCCCAAGCCTGGGATGTGTTAATGAGGGCGGGTGTGGGGGAATGGGATGGCGAGGGAGGAGAGTCGTACCAATCTCGGAGAGGAATGCATCAAAGTTCTCCGTCTTGGAGAGACGGTACTTGCCGCTGATAACGTCTTGCATTTTGACAGTTGTTGTGTGTGTGTAGATGTGATGTAAGCGGACGATAAGGACGAAGGGGATACCGGATGAAACGGGTGATGTTATTCCAGCCATCGTCGCGTCTTTATAGCTCATCCATCTATACACGCTCTCCAGATAACTCCCCCGTATTTCACATGTCATTTACATGTGGGCAGACAAGGCCGCTGCTTCGGCGTCGACGCGCTCCGAGTGGCGCCCGGACGGGGCTCTCCCACGGCGCTGTTGCCCGCATTGGGAACAAATGATCCACGGCCCCCATGGGGCGGGCGGACACCACCCGCCTAAGGAACGCGAATAAGAATGGAAGGACGGGGGATTGTCTGAAACGGCTGTCAGGGAAATGAGATGATGGCAGTGACGAGCATGTGGCATGGCGGCTGTCGCTGGGCATGGGGAAAGGAGGCTGTGGAGGGGAGCGAGCTGCGTCGACGTCGACAACCACGGATAAGCTAGCTTACCCAGATTTATCACAATTAGTGTTGCGCATATTCAAGATTTCCCCCAAAAGGGTCTTATTCATTGTCCCCTCAATCTGACTGATCTGACTTGATTGGCTCACTGTACTGGCTCTCCCGCCCATTCTGTTCCCAGTAATCCCAGATCCTGAAAAACCATCCCGCGTCCATCTTTAGTCTGCTTCCACTCACTGACCTAGCTTTCGTTTCTTGGTGTCCGCATACGGTCCGACGGCAGGAAGCAGCGGATGCTTCGCCAAGAGACCCCTTTCCCACCTAACCAATTTGTACACGACCTCCATGAGGGTGCGGCTGCGCTCTATGGCGAGGTCCAACGGATCGGAATCGCGAATGTCCCTGGCGACTTCCTCCAGGCTCTCAGACGAAAACAGATGGTCCTTATTTATCGTGAAGCTGTGCTGCCGTCTTGTCACCGGGCAATCTTGAACGATGGTCATCCGGCTGGCAGGCTTGGGCTCGGTCGCTGGCGAGCACATGATGCAAAGACGTGGGCGATCCGGGACTGACAAGGGGGCAAGGTTGATTGTTGTGTGTTCTCGGCGCGACTTGGCTAGAGCCGGGAAGCGTCTTGGATGATAAGTGCAATTGAGGTTGGGCTGTGATTGAAGGGTCTGCGAAAGAGTGGCGAAGAAGGGAGGAAATGGATGAGGACAGATCTGAATGGGCCTTTTGGAAGACTAAAGTGCATTTACTACCACTAATTCTGTACCGGCAAGCACTAATTTGTGCCAGCAAGAGATAGAAACTTCGAGTCCGTTTGCTAATAAAGCACTTGAACATCGCCAATAGAACATTTGACGCCAGTGACTGTCTAAAACTCTTAGTCCACATTCACTCAACATACAGACTGCTCCCACTCTCCGTCTCTTGGACCGTGAAGAGCCACGGCCGATGTGGCTTGGATGAAGTTCCCCTCTCTCAATTGCTATTGTTCTTTTTGGCGTAGGCGTACGCTCCCAGTGCAGGCAAGAGCGGATGCTCCGGCGCGTCGCCGCGCTCCCAGGCAATGACCTTGTACAGCACCTCCATGAGGGCGCGGCTGCGCGCCTCGCTGATCTTGCCAGGTGACGAGTAGCGGATACGCTTCACACAGACCTCGAGACTCTCCGACGTGCGCACCTTATCGCAGTTGTAGGTGAAGCTGTGCTGCTGCCTGGTGACGGGGCACTGCTCGGCAAACGTAATCGAGCGGTCCGGGGGCGGCGTGAGCGCCGCGTTTGCCAACGTGAGGGACATTTGGCGGAAGAAGTGGATTTTTTGTAGTGTGGGATGGGAAGAATAGGAGGAAATATAAAGGGGCCTTGTTCTGGCGGCGTAGGGAAAGCGCCGAAAACCGTGGTTGGATGGTGACGGCGAGCAGCGGCTGGCTTGAGATGGACGATGCTTAGTTAGAGGCGAAGAGGAAGGAAGTATATATGTCTTTAAAGATTGAGAAGAGGCCGGGCTGGCACCGCCCGTTTTATTTATGAGAAAAAAAGGTGCCTTCACTGCCTTTTGCGCTCATGCAAACGGCGAGCAACGTGAGTTGGCGTCGTTCGCGCAATTCACTGGCGAACTAGCCACCAAACGCGGACCAGGTGAATTACGCTGCTTGGATAGGCAATTTCACGCGAGTGTTTCTTTTCGGTTCTCTCGTTTTCAGGTTTTTGTCATTGGAAGTTGGCGATTTTATTTGACGAGTTTCTAACAACCTCGCGCACGCCTTCTCTGGATTGGGATACACTTGCGGCGTGACTACCAAAGTGAATAGATACTGAAGCGGGTTCATAATGCAATGTATGCTTGGAAGATGTTACTGCGATGCTGCATCATGTTTCTTGCTTTTCCTCTGGCGACAGTTAATGCATGTCCAAGACACATGGAAGAGTGACTGAGAGAAGGTGGTAGATGATGACAGAACGTCCGCAACCATCTACAGCTGGCCAAGTCTCGTCCTCTAACTTGACATTGATTCTTTCGAAATTTTGCTGGTTACCTTGAAAGTATATTTGAGACTCACATTTATAATTCTTCGTTGAAATGAACAACCGTCGGCCAGGCTCCGTCTCCTTTCTGCGTCATGTCTCAATTGTCAAATGAAGCGTACACCTACTCTGTAAAGTACTACCGAAATATATACTAGGAGCGGCGCTTGTGTCATCTAAACCTTGCCGCAAGACTGCGGCGTCGTTCGCAACTTCGCAAAAGCAAGTCCGAACAAACAAGCCAAATTGCACCGGCGCGTACCCCGCAGGGTCTCAACTGCCCACGTTGTGGTCGTTTAAATGTAATTGGTAGATGCGAAAAGCCTAATTTGTACAAACTGCGACTCTGAACTGTGGGCGATGAATGTATCGCATCACAGCAAGAGCAAGAAGGGGCGCGAGAAGATTGCCATGCTGTCGTCGTTCAGAACCTTACCTAGCCACGCGGGTATAATGACACTAGAACTAGACAGTCCCTTCCCGCAACGGGACTATTGGGTTAATCGGAAATAGGGGTTTCTTAGCGGCATCTGTCTAACTACGACTGTTGGCATTTTTTACTTTTGGTGTCTCACCCGGACCGTCCCAGGTCTCATAGCCGGCTTCCTTTCCTGGCGACCTAGTACCAGAGTAATTTACCGGTCTGTAAGAACTTATAATGATGCTGCCTCCTGCTCTTCTCAAGCTCGCAAAGCCTGTACGGTGTATTCATGTTGATATCGTGGTCCAAGCAAGAAGCGGGCGATTGATAGACCTCAACTACCCAGTGACGAGACAGGTCTGATCCAACATGGTCAGTCTACGCTTCTTACCACCGACCGTCCGCTTGCTATTCGGCGGCAGAAAACAAAGCGAGGGACAGACAGCAACGACAGCTAGCTCTACGACAGACGTTAGTTCACAAGCAGAATGGGTTGATGCCGAGAAGAGCGAGGCGACAAAGATCACAGCTGTCGCTGCCCACACTGACACAACAAAGACGGACGCAGCTAAGCCTGCACTTGGCAAGCCTCGATGGCCCTTATGGCTGAAGCTAGCCGTTGCCGGGTGTGCTTTTGCCATTGTGTGTGGCCTGGCCGTCGGACTCGGCGTCGGCTTGACCAGACACAAGCATACCGCCAGTAGTCACAGCGAGGGAGTCGACTCTCCCAGCGACAGCGTCAGCAGCAACTCCTCACAAAAGCCCAGCATGCTGTCCGTCTACTGGGGCGCCAAGCGCAGCGGCGTGTCCCTCGACACCGTGTGCGCCGACCCATCATACGACACGGTGAACCTGGCCTTTCTCAGCCACTTCTTCGGCCAAGGCCAGTACCCGCGGCTGGCCATCTCGTCGCTCAACGGGTCCTCAGCGGCGCAGCGGCTGGCCGGCGCCGTGGACCTGCAGGACGGAACGACGCTGGCTCCCGCGATCCGCGCGTGCCAGGCGGCCGGCAAGCGGGTGCTGCTGAGTATGGGCGGCGCGGCGGGCTACGCCGAGGTGCGGCTGGCGAGCGATGCGCAGGGGCGGCAAGTGGCGGATACGCTCTGGGATCTCTTCCTGGGAGGCGACAAAATGCCCGAGATCCGGCCCTTTGGGGACGTGGTCCTTGACGGTGTTGATTTTGGTAAGGTCTACCACACGCAATTTTGACAAGAATGCGGGCTAATAGGAAGGGTAGACAACGAGTCAGGCGAGTCAACGGGCTACGAGGCCATGGCGGCGCGGCTCCGCACGCACTTTGCCAGCGCCCCCGGCGGCCGGCGGTACTACCTGACGGCAGCGCCGCAGTGCCCTCCGACAACGGCGGCCGATGAAGAAGCGGCCCTGCGGCTGTTTCGGGGGCTTGACGCGGTGGCGGTGCAGTTTTATAACAACAACGCGTGCAACGTGGGGGCGTCGGGCTTCGAGGCGTCGGTTCGGCGCTGGAGCGCGGCGCTGGGCGGCGGCGGCGACGGCGGCCACACGACGCTGCTGCTCGTCGGCGCGCTGGCGAGCGCCGCGGACAAGGATCGGGGGTACGTCGAGGCCGGCGCGTTGGCGGGGGTGAAGGCGATGGGGTTGGGGAATTACGGAGGGGTGATGCTGTGGGAGGCGGAGCTGGCGGCGCAGAATGGCGATTATCAGAAAAAGATACGGTCCGCGGTCTGAGTTGGGATGGAGAAGAACTGACAAATGCCGAAGAAGGGGTCAAGGCTGCAACTTGGGCGAGCTAACGACGAGATGGAGAAATCTCCGGGCCGATTTGTCTTCATTCGCCGAAGATTACTGAATTGGGAGCGACGGACATCCTTGTTACACTGTGGGGCGTTTGCCTTGTAACAAGAGACCTGCAAGCATTCAGAGCATGAATAAGGCATAATAAATAAGAGCATGTCACTGGTGCTGCTTGACAGTGAATTATGCCGTGTTTTATAGACAATGCCTGCAATTCATTACAAATTACAACTTCTGTTTGACCGGAAAACGACGCGCCGCTCGTCTACTTCCTACTTCCCCACAGGTGCATCCGGCTATCCAAGGAAAACGGCTTGCCCCCACGCAATGAGCCGTCTTGGTGGGGTTGCAGCACTTCTACCAGTATATCCTCGAGGTTACAGCACAGTGGTAGGGAGAGTCAGGCACAGAAAACTGCCAGCCCAGTGATCTCACAAACATGCGGCGTCCATAATGCAGCCGAGCAGCAGTGCCGCACCTCCAATCGCCATCTGCCCCGCCTCCCATCACACCCACCACTTTCTCCCCCTCACCCCTCCATCACTTTCAATTGCCGACGCAAACGCACCCCCATGCCGTTGCGCCATTCACTCGGCAACATAACATTCTCTCGTTTTCTCTTTCGTCGACACTTTATATCTCAGCCTCTTCCCCCGCATCTCATCCTCCCTTCATCCCAGCCCGTCAAACCCTCTCACCTTCCACCGTCAACCACCACACCACCGGCATCATGAAGCTCCTCTACCCCACATCCATCAAGCTCGATCTCGAGACTCCTCTGCGGCCGCAGCACCCGGACATCGTCCTCGTCGCCTACGACCCCGCCCTCCCCGTCCCCGACGCGCACCTTGACGCCGCCGTCCTCGTCGCCTGGGCCAACAGCGCCGCCAACCTCGCCCACGCCGCCGCCCACATGCCCGCGCTGCGCTGGATCCAGTCGCTCGCCGCGGGCCCCAACGACGTGCTCGCCGCCGGCTTTGACCGCGCCCGCGTCGCCGTCACGTCCGGCTCCGGCCTGCACAACGTGCCCGTCGCCGAGCACGCCCTCGGCCTGCTGCTCAACGCCGCCCGCCGCTTCTACGAGATGCGCGACTACCAGGCCCAGAAGACGTGGGCCGGCCACCTCCGCGGCGACCCGACCCGCCCCGGCTACATGTTCTCGACGCTGCGCAACGCCAACATCACCATCTGGGGCTACGGCAACATCGCCAAGACGCTCGCGCCGCACCTGCAGGCGCTCGGCGCCACCGTCCGCGGCGTCGCCCGCACACCCGGCGTGAGGGACGGCGTCGAGGTCTTTTCTGAGGACAAGCTGCCGGAGCTGCTGCGCACGACGGACGCGCTCGTCATGATCCTGCCCGGGTCCGACGCCACCCGCCACGCGCTCAACGCTGAGCGGCTCGGCTACCTGCGCGAGCACGCCTGGGTCGTCAACGTAGGCCGTGGCAGCTCCCTCGACGAGGCCGCCCTCGTCGACGCGCTCGAGAAGCACCAGATTGGCGGCGCTGCTCTCGATGTCTTTGAGGAGGAGCCCCTGCCGGCTTCCAGCAAGCTCTGGGATGCGCCCAACCTGATCCTGTCGCCCCACGCTGCTGGCAACAGGCCGTTGGGCTCCGAGGCCCTGATTGCCGAGAACCTGAAGCTCTTCCTCGAGGGCAAGACGCTGACCAATGCGATGCCATGAACCGGCCGAGAGCGAAGTCGGCTGTGAAGGACGGTGAAAATGTACGGAGCGATAAAAGGAATAGATTGGATGGATTTGGAAGGCTCTTTCGTATATAATAATAAAATTTCCAAGACTATCTTTGAAGGCAGTGCCACGCTCAAATCCAGCAACAGACATTTGACAAAGACCAGGCGGCACGGTGTTTACAAGTTCTGGAAGTAATTCCCCGATTATAAAATTACAATTCATCATATATATCGAGGCAAACTTGTTCCCGAATACTGGCCACTTACACAGACCGCGAGCTCTGCCGACCGTGCGCCCACTATGTACATGGGTCGTCATCTTCTCTAACACAGCATCTACCTGCAAATTGATACAGCTAAGACCAAGAGTGACCGGTTTATAGTACATTTTTCTGCCTCCTTCGTCGCCTTATTCTTAATCTGTTTCTTTTCTCTCTCAAAAAAAAACTAAAAAACTGTACTTGGAAGATAGAAAGCCCCTAGCCGCCTCAAGACATGCGAATGCATAGACGACTTGCAACCCCCAATATCAACACGTCATCATAAATTCCTGGGAAATTTTGCACTTTATTCTTTTGCATTTTTCCCCCAGTTTCCATCCAATGAGTCTGTGATATCCTTCTGCTTAGTACCCATCATACCTCAAAAAGTACGCCACGTTACAGCAGCAATAAGGGTTCTTGAGGCTTTCCGAAAGAGCGGTAGAACGAGCTAACTCGTAAAGAAAATCCTCAATTATCAATCCTTTTTTTTATCGTCAATAATGACTTGTTCAAATCTGGCGCCGTGCAATGACTTTTGTCATCCCGTTGGTGCGATAAGTGGGCCCGCAAGCTGTCCCAACTTCCCAGCTCATCAAAACCGACTTCACGTTCTCCCTCACCACTTCTCCATCTCCTCACCACCCGCCCACGATGCGTCTCCTCTCCATCAGCGGGCTCCTGGCCCTCGCCAGCGCGACGACCATTACCCTGCGCCTGCCAGCCACGCCGGC